TCTACAAGAAAGTGATCATCAACATAAAAAGAGGGGTTCAGCAGGGAGATACCATTTCACCAAAATTCTTCAGTGCCACCCTTGAGAAAGCCATGTGACGACTGGAATGGGAAGAAATGGGAGTGAAGATAGGCGGTCAGCAGCTACACCACCTCCGCTTTGCTGCTGATACCATTCTAATAACACCAAACATTAGCAAAGCAGCACAAATACTGGCTGACTTTGACCATGAGTGTGGAAAGGTCCGACTGCAGCTGAATCTCACCAAGACAATGTTCATGAAAAACGGACTTGTTCCTGAAGTTCCATTTGCTCTCAACGGAACAAACATCTCCGAATGTAGCAGCTATGTGTACCTAGGTTGAGAACGCAACATGACGAATGACCTGGCACCTGAGCTGCACAGGAGGAAGAGAGCGGCATAGTATGCCTTCAAGAGTATCGAAGAAATATCACGGTCACGGTCCTCCCGTTGTTCATCGATTTGCTCGAGCGGGCCTAGTAATGTCTCTGTCATGAGACTTGTTGTTACTGTGTTTGGCATATTGAGTACGTCACAGATAGCTTGCCAGGCTCTGCCGTGTGGGCGAGATACACTCGGTAGCTTGCCGGGCTCTCCGAGAGGGGCGGAGGAATCGAACCCGGGTCGGCCATGTTGGCTGCGTGCAAGGCAAATGCTGTACCCGCTGTGCTATTGCTCCAGCCCCATCGAAGAAATAGCTAAGAGAATGAAGAACCTCCGGTTCTGGGCACATTCAACAGCACTGTTCTTCCTGCATTAACATACGCCTCAGAGACCTGGGCCCTACAAAAACAGGACAAGAACACTATTCAGGTCCCCAAAAGAGAAATGAAAGAGCTATGCTTGGAGTATCGTGCTTCACTCAAGTGAGAGAAGGAATTCGGAATTCCGACCTCTGTCGACGATCGGGAATCAGGGACGCTGTCTCGTTTGCCAAGGCATCAAAAATCAGATGGGCTGGACACGTTATGCAATTTGAAAATGACCACTGGACTAGAGCCATTACATATTGGATTCCACAGGATGTCAAAAGAATGCATGGCCGCCCACCTATGAGATGGTCAGACTTCTTTGTCAAGACCCTGAACGAACGGTTTGAGGCTCTTTGTGTTCCTGGAGTGAGCAGATGCCATTGGCTACACTAGCATGCAACAGTGATGAATGGAGATGTTACTGGCACCCGCCCAAGCAACTCATGAGTAACGGGATGTCAAGTGATCAAGTGATTGCTATTAATGCTTCTCTTCCACTTTACAAATATTTTATGTATCCAACTATGGACTGTAAGCTACTTTGGTTTTCCTTTCCCATTCTTTCAAAGCAAGAAATTCTAATGCAAATAGATAATTTGCCATAGGACATTAAATGACAATTCCCAAGAAGAAAAGTTATCAGATGACTCATTGACTTTTTAAATTCTCATAAGTATATAATAAATTCAGGTAAACGAAGTAAGAAGAGATTGATCTACAGAAAGGCAGTAGTATTTATAAAGAGCACAGTCCACAAAGGGATTCTGATCTGCTTAAGACCAGAGCAATAAGGCTCTATTTCTAAACATATCAGTTGATGCCTTAGTTGTGAGAATTTGGTGTTGATTTTTAAAAAAAGTGGAGGGGCTAGAGCGATAGCTCAGCAGGTGGGGCATTTATTTGCCTTGCACACAGCCGACCCTGGTTTAATTCCCAGCATCCCATATGGTCCCCTGAGCACCGCCAGGAGTAATTCCTGAGTGCAGAGCCAGGAGGAACCCCTGTAGCTGGGTGTGACCCAAAAAAGAGGGAAAAAAAGTGGAAAGATCGTAAAAATGCTTTAATTCAGGCTTCTAGAAATAGGTTTGCAGAAGACTTCGTATAGTTGGCCCACTAGGCAGCTTCTTCTTGTGCCCTAATCAGAAAGTTAGAAATCAGAGAGCTATTTTGGAACTCTTAACTAGGATTACTCTGTTTTAACTATAATCCAGTGATCAGGAAGTTCCCATTGCCATAGCAATTTGCTTCTGAGTTTCACATATACAGTAGCATAATACTAGCGCAAGATAGATTGATCATTTTTCATCCTCACAAAGCTAATGCTGCACGCACACAGAATGCTTGTATTCCATTTCTGCCAACCCAAACCAGCTGAAACAGCAACAAAACCAGTTCCACATTTCCACCTTCCTAAACTTGAATCAGAGCATCTGATTATCTTACAACCTTATTATGAGTTACTGAAGATGCAGTTTTTGTATTTATTCTCATAATTCTTTTAGTTGTGTGGTTCTATCTATTGGTATCATTTGGGGTTACTCTTTTCTTATTTATTTATTTACTTATTTTAATTGGATCACCGTGAGATAGTTACAAAGCTTTCATGATTGAGTTTTAGTCGTACCATGATCGAACACCCATGCCTCCACCAGTGTACATTTTCTACCACCGATGTCCTCAGTTTCCTCCCGCCAACCCCACCTCATCCCACCCCCTGCCTCTGTAGCAGATAATTTCCTTCTTACTCTATTTTTTGGCATTATGTTTTGCAGTACAGATACTGAGAGGCCATCATGTTTGGTCCTTTGTCTACTTTCAGCAAATATCTCCCATCACGAGCGATCCCTCCAACCATCATTGATTTAGTAATGCCTTCTCTATCATTTGGGGTTATTCTTGAAGCTCAATGTAGCTGATAATTCAGAGAGGGCTCTAAATTCTCTTATATATAGTGTCTCTGTATGGTGACTCATCTTCAGAGTTACTCTACACATGGTCTGTTTGTCATATCCTGGTATTACTGATAGGATGACAGCTAAGTTCCTGTGGGGAGTATTTCAGGCACTCCACATGCTCACTTTTATTCCTACACTGATTGTGCCTAATAGTTTATTATGGCAGTGACTGTATGTCTCTTGAGGTCAGTTAATAAGAGATTCTTTCTTAGCACTTGCCCTTTTAGATCTCTTACTTGGAGAGAATGTTAGCTGTTATTTAATAAGGGTTCAGCAGTAGTTTTAGAAGGTAATAGTGACTGAGGCCAAAAGCAAGGCCAACATTTTACCAAGCATGTGAATGAGCTACCTGTGAAGCACATCCTCTAGACCCAATCACAGTGACATTGTATATGTGTGCATATATGATTTTTGCCAAGGATTGACTCCTGGGAGTCTGTACATGTGAATCATGGTCGCCATCTTCTGTCCATCTGGCCTCTTTCAGATAACTTGAACCTTGAAGTGGGGACTGAAAAGTTGTCTGACATGCTGTCAACTCTGTTGATCCCCTGCACCATATGTGGTTCCTTCCTTGGTATTGCCCAACACCCCCCACCCCCATCATTAAATAAAACTGACAGGCTCCCACCTTGTAAGAAAGTTCAAGTTAAAATTCTTTGTTGTCCTCAGGAACTGGAAGAGAGACCTCTGTGTGTGTGTGTGTGTGTGTGTGTGTGTGTGTGTGTGTGTGTGTGTGTGTTCAGGGGGGAAGTATTGTGTAGCATTGGATTCAGAGGGGTTGACCCAATGGCTTAATAGCAGTCTCAGAGAATCTAGGGAAGAAATGGGCAGTATTGCCAAAGTTCTGGTTTCTAGTTCAGAGTTTTAAGCTGCACTTTTGAATTTGCAAAGTAAATGCAACTGAGCAGAGAAATCTACAGGTGTCTGTGAATGGGTAAGAAGATGGAGAGCTTAATAAGAGATTTGATAAAGTGTAAAAGTAAGTAGTAGTGCTTAGGAAAATATTTGTAAAAGTAAGCAGTAATGCTTAGGAGAATGTTCAGAAGCTTTGATTTAAGGGAATAAAATTTTAAAAGATCAAAAAAGAAAGGTTACTGCAGATGACCTACTAATCTTAACCAAAGTTAACCCATTCTACTGTTGTTCTGGCCCCATGGAATCTTTTTTTTTTTTTCTCTTTTTGGGTCACACCCAGCGATGCACAGGGCTTACTCCTGGCGTTGCTCAGGGGACCATATGGGATGCTGAGAATTGTACCCGGGTTGATTGCATGCAAGGCAAACACCCTACCCGCTGTGCTATCTCTCCAGCTCCCGCCATGGAATCATTTTAATCTAAATCTAAGTGGCTATTATAATGATAACAATATAGAAAATTGGTGATGTTATGAATTTAGTTGTGTTTAGGAGACTAAGAACTTAACATTTGGCTTTAAATTTTGTGTTTTAATGTTGAACCTGGTGGTACACAGGGTAACTTCTGTCTTTGCTGGGCATTGAACCTCTTAGCATACAAAATATGCATTCTACCCTGTTGAGCTGCATTTTCTATTTAAGAACTTTGGTTTCTTTTTTTTTTCTGGGTCACACCCGGAAATGCTCAGGGATTACTTCTTGCTCTGCACTCAGGAATTACTCCTGGCGGTGTTCAGGGGACCATATGGGGTGCTGGGAATCGAACCAGGTCAGCTGCATGCAAGGCAAACGCCATACCCCATTGTGCTATCACTCCAGCCCCAGAACTTTGGTTTCTTAAACAGGAAATCAAAAAATAGGACATTTTTTGGTTTGAGTCACACCCACTGTTTGTGGGAGCATGGTATACCAAGTATTAAACCCAGAATTACTACATACAAAGCATGTGCTCCTGCACTAAGACCAAGCACTTTTTTTTAACATGATCTAGAATTTTTTTTTTCTTTTTGGGTCACACCCGGCGATGCTCAGGGGTTACTCCTGGCTCATACACGCAGGAATTACTCCTGGCGGTGCTCGGGGGACCATATGGGATGCTGGGAATCTAACCTGGATCAGCCATGTTGGCTGCATGCAAGGCAAAGGCCCTACCTGCTCTGCTATCGCTCCAGCCCCATGATCTAGAATTTAAATGATGAGAATCTTGAGAGATTTTAAATAAGTAATGATAATCTTGAGCTCTTAATATCTGGTATTAATAAGATTGTGTGTCTATCTATGAGTTCGATATCTTCCCACTTTTTTTTTTAAGTACTAGGAGTTGATTCAGTTTCTCTTCAATATATTTTCACAGATGGTAGTAAAAACTTTTATGGACATGGATCAGGATTCAGAAGATGAAAAACAACAGTATCTCCCACTAGCCTTGCATCTTGCATCTGAATTTTTCCTCAGGAATCCCAATAAAGATGTCCGTCTCCTTGTAGCGTGTTGTTTGGCTGATATATTTCGAATCTATGCTCCAGAAGCTCCATATACTTCCCATGATAAACTTAAGGTAAATTCTGTCTTTATAAAAATTTGTTTACTTTTGTTTAGCTTATCATCTGGAACATATATTTCATGTTATTGTTATCATTGTAAATAAGATCTTAAGTTGCAAAACAAACTGATTTATTTCACAAATACATTGAGTATTTTGGGGAAAGACATGAGGCCGTGAAAGGTACAGATCAAAACTTTTAAAAACTCAGATGACTGAATTAAAGAGATAAATAGTACATTAGGAACATGTACAAAACAATGTCATTTGACTATTTTCCCTGCATGACATTTTCTAAACACAAAACTAAATGCTCAACTTAGTGGTTTTCTTTTTGTTCAAACTGAAAAGTTTCTTTTTTAAAAAAGTTGATTTCAGGGACTGAAGCGGTAGCACAGAGGGTAGGGTGCTTGCCTTACATACAGCCGACCCGGGTTCGATTCCCAGCATCCATATGGTCCCCTGAGCACCATCAGGAGTAATTCCTGAGTGCGGAGCCAGGAGTAACCGCTGTGCATTGCCAGGTGTGACCCAAAAAGAAAAAAAAATTGATTTCAATCTGGTTTTATATTTTTAGTAATTTTTTCTTTTCAAGTTGAAATCTTTTGAATTGCATTGTTATTTGTTTTGGGGCCATACATGATAGTGCTCAGGGCTTATTCCTGACTCTGCTCAGGGATCCCTCCTGGCAGTATTTGAGGGACCACATATGGTACTAGGGATCAGATCCACGTCTGCTGCATTTAAGGCAAACTCCTTACCTGCTACTATATCTTCAACCCCTGAACTGTTTATTTTTAAATCATTCTGAAATATATCCATGTCAGTAGTATTTGGGGAAAGCTTATTAAGAAGTGGAGTGCTTGTAATGAAAGTACAGCCCTTCTAAGTAGTCTATTAATGGTTTGTTCTCCACTACTTAGTGCTCACATCAGATTCAAAACTAGGCACTGGAAATGACTGCTTATTTTAAGGATATAGTAATGAACTCATAATCAGGTCCTTAAAATAACTTTAATTGTCATAAATTAAGGTGACTGTGAGTAGAAGTGTTATAAGATTTAGTTATCTCAGAATAAGGGAATATAAAGATTGTGGCAGTAATTTTTTATTATGGTATAATTTTGTGATTTGTTCTTTTCTAAGTATTGTAAGTAATGAATGAACTAAGTTACTTTCAATTCATTTGGCTAAAGGAGAATTTTTTATAGTTTGTACTGGATTAGTATATTGTGAAAGAGTCATAAGTGTTTGTGGTTAATAATATTTTATCTCTGTCTTCCACAGGACATATTTTTGTTTATTACCAGACAATTAAAAGGTTTAGAGGATACAAAGAGCCCACAATTTAATAGATACTTTTATTTATTGGAGGTAAGATTTTTTCCCCTTTAATAAATACACACTATTGCACAGTATTTTTTATTTTATGTTGTATATATTACAGAGTATAATATGGAGAAGATCCTTTATTATATACTTTCATAATGTACAATGAGTCTTTTAAGCTTTTTTTTATATTTAAAAGGAAGATACAATCTTTTAATTGCTTCTCTTAGCCTAAAAATATGAAGTTTTAACTTGAAAAATGTTGCAATATTTGATCTTACATTTTTTGTTTTTGGGATTGGGGATGGACATATTCTACTATGTTCAAGACTTACTCCCAGCTCTGCTCAGGGATCACTCCTGTCATGGCTTAAGGGAATATATGTGGTGCTGAGGATTGAATTTACAAAGCAAGTACCTTTATCTCTCCAGCCCCTTTTATATTATTTGAAACTTAATTTTTATTTACATCTTTTTTTTTCCTGCTTTTTGGGTCACACCCGGCGGTGCTCAGGGGTTACTCCTGGCTTTGCATTCAGGAATAACTCCTGGCAGTGCTCAGGGGACTATATGGGATGCTGGGATTTGAACCCAGGTTGGCCGCGTGCAAGGAAAACGCCCTACCCGCTGTGCTATCACTCCAGCCTCGAAACTTGATTTTTATCTTGCTAATTTTATCTTTTCATAATCCAAAAAGGAATTAAATTGCAAATACCTCTACCAGTTTCTCACAGTGTTTTTTTTTTTCTTCCCTGTTGTGATCAAATTTATAACTTTACCCATGCAAGGCATGCACTCAACTACTCAACCACTAAGCCACATCCCCAGCCCTCTTAGTATCTTTCAATTATCGAAGAGGTACATCATGTATTTTGTGAAGGTCAAAGTGAATGAAAAACCATTGTCATTTTCTTTTTTGTTTTGTTTTGGTTTGGCTTTTGTTTTTTGTTTTGGGGCCACACCCAGCAATGCTCAGAGATTACTCCTGACTCTATACCCTTGCACTCAGGATTCACTCCTGGTGATGGCTTGGGATACAGGATGACAGGGATCAAACCCACATTGGCTATGTGCTAGGCAAGCGCCCTCCTTACCCACTGTACTATCTCTCCTCTGCTGGAAATGTCATTTTATTTATTTAATTAACTAAGTTTTCTGTCTGCAATACTCAGGAGTAACTCCTGGCTCTGCACTCAGGAATTACTACTGTTGGTGCTCAGGTGACAGTATAGAGTGCCAGTGATTGAATCTGAGTCGGTTGCTTGCAAGGCTAACCTCCTACCCACTGTACTCTATCTCTGGTCCTCACAATTGTAATTTTCTGTTGTGCCTTTGTGGACTTTAAACTTCTCATTCTAAAAATTAAGTTAAAATTACAATTTTAATGATGAATTTACTTCTTTGTATGTATGTGTGAATGTAGTGTATGTGTAAATAATTATTTTTATTTGTTTAAAGAATTTAGCTTGGGTTAAATCATATAACATCTGCTTTGAATTGGAAGATTGCAATGAAATTTTTATTCAGCTTTTTAGAACTCTCTTCTCAGTGATCAAGTAAGTTAATTTTTAAGCATCAGTCTTTTTTTTTGCTATGTATATTGAAGTGTCATGAATTATATAGCAAGATGTTTTAGAACTTTAAAAAAAATGTTTTCCTTAGATTATATAAAGAACTGAAATTCTATGCCTAAACTCTGTCTTTGCCCATTTGATACCACTTAAATTATGATAGCAGCTATATTCTTTGACCCTTAGAAAGCAAATGTTATCAGACCTTAAATAACAATTTACAAATGTACAAGCTGAAATTCTAAATTTTATTAAGTAGCATTCATGGACGCTAAAAGGCACCGACTTTTATACTTTCTCATTTTATTTTTAAATTAATTAATTTACTTATTTTGGTTTATGGGGCCACACCTCGCAGTTCTCAGGGCTCACTCCTGCCTTTGGTCACAGGGATTTGGTGCTAGGAGACCATAAGTTGTGCCAGGGATTGAACCCAGGTTGGCCGTGTACAATGCTAATGCCTGCCCGCTGTATTACCGCTCTGGCCTGTAAACCACATTTTTTGATGTGAGGTATAATCTATAACATTGTTATTTACATTATATACTTGCCAAGTTATCTCATAAAATTTCTTTTTTCATTTTATTTTTGGGCCACACTTGGCTATGCTCTGGGATCATTTCTAGCAGTAACTCAGGGGACAATATAGGGTGCTGGGGACCGAATTTAGATCATTCTCATGCAAGCACCCTACTAACTGCACTATCCTTGTAGCCCCTCTCAAATATTAATTTTTTAGTGACCTTATTAATAAAGGATAAATTAAATTTAATATATTGATACAAATTTTATGTATTTCTACTTTATTGAAGAGCAGCATTATTTCAATATATGATTCTGGTCACATTTCCTGTATCCAATACAAATGGCTTTGTTTTGAGAACTAATTTTATAGGATAAGTTTGCAGACATTTTAAAATTTTTTTTCCTTCGGTCTGGAGCAATAAGAGAGCGGGTAGGACATTTGCCTTGCACACGGCCAACCCAGGTTCAATTCCCAGCATTCCATATGGTCCCCCGAGCACTGACAAGAGTAATTCCTCAGTGCAGAGCCAGGAATAACCCCTGTGCATCGCAGGGTGTGACCCAAAAAGAAGAAAAAGTTTCTTTTTTTTCCTTGCCCTGTATCCTTCTCAGTGCTTTTAGAAACACTGCTGCATTTTTTTTTCTGTCTTATGTTAATTTTTTTGAAGGGTAGGGTCAGCTGCTTTGTATTTCTAATTCTAATGAAAAAAATTTTATGATACTTGGTTTTGATTATATAAGATGTCTATTATTTTGTACTCAGGGATCACCCCTGGCTAAGCTCAGTGTCCCGTGTTGGGGTACAGGGATAGAGTCTGGGTCTGCCATATGCAAGGCAAGTGCCCTGCCTGCTGTAGTATCTCTTTGGCCCCCAGGAAGCATTTCTGAAACCTCATTCTTTAACTATATTGATTTTATTATCATTTTGTTATTTGTTTGACTTTTGTGAGATGAGGATGTTGTTTTTAGAGTTTTCTAATTGTAAATTCTTGTATACAGCCAACCTTCCACAGGTCAGTTAAAGCCCGATACCATTTGATCTCCCAAGCACTGTGGGGTGTGACCTGAAGGTTCTTGTGTATTGCCTGGTTCCATACCACAGTACTGCCTGAACTGCAGCACATTCTTAGTCTGTAACATTAAACCCAGCTGCTACTAGTCAGAATCACCAGGAAGACTCTCCTGCCACCCATCGGCTCCTGAGAACTGTCACTGTCACTGTCCTCCCGTTGTCATCGATTTGCTCGAGCAGGCCCAGTAACGTCTCCATTGGAGACTTTGTTGTTACTGTGTTTGGTATATTGAATACATCACGGGTAGCTTGCCAGGCTCTGCCGTGCAGGCAAGATACTCTCGGTAACTTGCCGGGCTCTCCGAGAAGGGCGGAGGAATCGAACTTGGGTCGGCCATGTTGGCTGCATGTTCGACAAATGCCCTACCACTGTGCTATCGCTCCAGCCCACTCCTGAGCACTGATTTTTAAATTTTATTTATTTTGCTCTTATTTGGGATTATACCTGGTCATACTCCAGGGGTTACTGCTGGCGCTGCACTGAGGAATCAGTCCAGGGGGTGCTTCAGAAGTGACACGGGATGCTGGGGATTGAACCCAGGTCAACTGCATGCAAAGCAAACACCCTACCTGTTGTACTATTGTTCTAGTTTGCTCAGAAAAAATTTTTAAACAAAGGAAATGTCAGTAGTATAAAAAACTTCTTAATTTCATTCATTGTTGTACATTTGTTTCCTTTTTTTTTTTTAAGCTTTCCTTGAGATATGTAAGCAAAAAGATCGTTCTTTGAACTTTACAGTTTATTTGGTCTTTGACTCTTATAAGGCCTACATTTATTTTAGTGATTGTTTTGTAAGTTTTGGAAAAAGCATAATGTCCTAAAGCTTTTATAATGAAAACAAATAGAGCAGCTGACAATTCTATACCAGAATTGGCATGATTCCCTCAAGAGAAAATCCTCTTACATCTCAGATATTTGTTTTCAAAACTGAATGCTGTAATTTTCTTTAGTAAGCCTAATTTTTTTCCCTTTTTTCTGCCCCCCCCTGCCTTTTTTTTTAAAGCAATAGCCACAATAAGAAGGTACAAATGCACATGCTAGACTTGATGAGTTCTATCATCATGGAAGGTGATGGAGTGTCTCAAGAATTATTGGATTCCATTCTTATTAATCTCATCCCTGCACATAAGGTCTGTATGGTACGAAGATACTAAATATTTAAAGGTATCTACATGCTTCACTTATGAAATACTTCACATGAAAAGAATTATGTTTTGCCATAATTGATCTTTTTAAATAATTCTCTTTTTTTTGCTTTTCTGGTTTTTTGTTTTGTTTTGTTTTTTTGGGTTTTTTTTCTTTTTTTTGCTTTTTTTGGGTCACACCTGGCATTGCACAGGGGTTAGTCCTGGCTCTGCACTCAGAAATTACTCCTGGCAGTGCTCAGGGGACCATATGGGATGCTGGAGATTGAACTCAGGTCAGCCGCATGCAGGGCAAATGCCCTACCTGCTGTATTATCACTCTGGCCCAGAAGATTTGATTTTAAAAGTCTTCCTACAGCCCTTTTTTGACCCTTAATTACATAGTGCATTGAGAGTCTTGGAGGGAACAATATTCAACATTTTTAAATTATGAAAATTTTACCTCAAACACCTTGATTACTACTTCTCAGCTAATTAAACAAGGAAATATTAAGAATAGTGGATTAGAGGAGAGTGTGGGTGTCGTTTGTATTTAGGATACATAGATATAATTGCTTGAATCACAGTATCACATGGTCCTCCCATTGTTCATCTATTTGCTCGAGCGGGCCCAGTAACGTCTCCATCATGAGACTTGTTACTGTGTTTGGCATATTGAGTACGTCACGGGTAGCTTGCCAGGCTCTCCGAGAGGGGTGGAGGAATCGAACTTGAGTCGGCCATGTTGGCTATGTGCAAGGCAAATGCCTTAGGTATCCATTCAGTGTGATAAAAACAGCTTAATAGAGAATTGGACTTTTTTTGTAGACAAAAATTTATTTTAGTTTTTGATTTCTCATTTACAACTTCTGCATTTTAGAAACAAGGATATCGTATAATACATGAAATGAATTGTTACCTTTTTGGGTGCCATTTTGTAGACTATCATGGTATAACAGCACTATAATACATTCACTAATTCATTTATAACTTTGCGTATTTTTGTTTTTCAGAACTTAAATAAACAATCCTTTGACCTCGCAAAAGTCCTATTGAAAAGGACAGTTCAGACTATTGAGGCATGCATTGCCAATGTATGTATTTCTACCTGTATTATGTAATTGCCTAATTTCTAATTTATTGTATTAGTATATTAGAACCTTTTATATGTTGGTTTAACTTACTGGTAAAGTTTTATCTATTTAGAGCAAATTTATGGAAAAAATGATAGTTTGATCCATTATATAATCAAATACAAAATTCCTTTTTTGGGGTGGTTAGGGTTTGGAACATATTTATGAGATAATCTGGATCTGTGCTCAAGGGACACTTCTGGTAGTACTCGGAGACAGCAAAGTTTTTCTCTTCATCCTCCAATGCCCTATAGTCATTTCCTGAATTACCAGTACAGGTATATATATTTTTGGTTCTTTTGAGAGTGCTACCAAAAACACCATTAGTGAAAGGAAAGAAGTAATGGACAGTGCACATGAGACTCACTTGTTGTTGAACTTGAGATAGGTTATAGATTCAGAATTTTAGAATTAAAACTGATGATAATCTCAAGGAAAACTAAGACACAACCACGACGAAGCAGTTAAGGCACAACCACGAGGAGGCAGTTGGAATTTGACCACTGCACAAAAGCAGATATGTTAGTAAAGGCATGGGGGAAGAAAGATAACTGAAAAAGTGAATATCTGAAGGTACTAGCATCAGAAATTAAAGGGAGGTTTACTAAATATTCAAAGGAATTCATAAGCTCTGGCAAGAACACTTTACAACTTATGCCATGAAAATAGAGAGCCTAGAAAAATGGCAAGACTGAATCAGTAGAATACAGTGTCTAAATAAAAAAGACTTGGAACTTTCCAGCTCCCACTTTTACATACACAAATCAAAACAATAATTATGTCTCCCCCAGTCAAAAGACAACCCAATTGAATTTACTAATGAGTTCTTCCAAACCTTTAGAGACCTTCTTATCCTTTTAAAAAGGCCCCTTCTAGATAGTCTAGCAGTAATTTTTCTAAGCAGGAATTATTCTGAACTAAGAGGGCAGAATTACTCTTTAAATTACATTTTTTTATAAAGTTGTTCACAATAATTATATTCAGCATTTCAACACCAATCACACCACCATTATTTTGAATTTTCCACCACCACTCAAGCCTGTCCCACAGACAGATGCTAGATAATTTATTTTGTATTGCTTGTTAAGAATAGCATTTTGCAGCTGCACGGTCCTGGAATTCTAATATTTTAAATAATTGGTGTCCGGAGACATCTCTGCAGCCAGCTGATTGGGTCAGAGATTCATTTGTGAGTCTCTGGACCGTGGCCATGCTCTTAAATGGCACCCGGAGGCAGTTCATGGGTGTGACAGCCAGGACTGAAAGGGCGAGAGAAGGAGCCATCCTCCCCCAATCCCTTGAGGCCTGGAGTTTTCAGTCACAGAGTGACTGAAATGGGTGACTAAAATCCTGATGCCTACATGGGTCAGGATTGAACCCTGTATTTAGTTTACTCCTGGCTCTTCACTCAGGAATTACTCCTGGCGGTGCCCAGGTGACCGTATGGGATGCTGAGAATCGAATCCGGTTCAGCTACATGCAAGGCAAAACACCCTACCCGCTGTGCTATCACTCCAGCCCTTGATTATTGTTGTTTTAAGAATTACTTTAAATACTCCTTGTTATTAAACATGGAAAAATAAGATTCTGGCTTAAATTTGATTTCGTTCCAAGGAAATTTGTCTATACAGTTCTAATAGATTACATAATTTATCTAAATTGTTTTCATTTTAGCAAGCATTATAATACATTATAGTAATACTCTTAATTTGAAAAAGCTTAATTCTTTTTTCTTTTATCTCTACATTTATGACTAAATGTTATTTAAAGATGTCCTTCCTTCTACCATCCTCTCCTCTTTTTATCGCCTCTCCTCACTTCCCGTCCTCTGTTCCCTCTCTCCCTCTCTGTCCCTTCTCTGTCCCTTTATTTTTTAGCTTTGTTGTATAGCTAAGTTACATCTCCAATTTGTAAGAAGTTTATTTTTTTTACTATTTTGATAATTTATATATTAATAATTGAAAGATCTGTTTCATTCCCTTCAGTGCTATATGTTATGTCTGTATGGTAGTTTATTAAAAATTATCCAAGTTTCTAATTTAAGTAAACTTTATTTTTTAATGTCTGATAGTTTTTCAATCAAGTCCTGGTGCTCGGAAAGTCATCAGTGAGTGATTTGTCAGAACACGTATTTGATCTGATTCAGGAACTTTTTGCTATAGATCCTCATTTGTTATTGTCTGTCATGCCACAGCTTGAATTCAAACTGAAGGTAAGAATGAGTATAAATTGTAAGCCCTTAATTTTGAGGAAAAATGTCATGTAATTTTTCTCTAACCATAAAAGAGTAAGTTCAAATAATGGTGCATCTTTTGTCAAAATGATGTAATCATTGTAGAGAAGATTTAAGTAGAAATCATCTGCCTCACAGGCATTGGGTAGGGTGGGGGTATATATTGGGGTTCTTGGTGGTGAAAAATGAGTACTGGTGAAGGGAAAGGTGTTTGATCATTGTATGACCGAGTCTTAAACCTGAAAGCTTAGTAACTTTTCCCACAGTGATTCAGTAAATAAATATAAGATGAAAAAAGAAAAGCAAGGTGGATTTTATGCACAATTTAATCAGCTAATCAGTGGCTGAATAAATAGCAGTACTCCTACATAAAAAAAAAGTAAGTTCAGGTAACCTATTATTAAGTTATATATTGAAAATTACTTAAATAAAGCTATCCCATGTGAATTTGCATTGCAGAATTGTAATCTGCACATGTTCTTAATATCTGATATATACAGATAATAGATTAAAAATGGAGTAATTCCAGGAGCTTATAATGCGTTTTCATTATTATGCATGTTGGTATTTATTAATGTGTACATATGTCTTGTGAACATTAGAAGTTTCGACCGAACTGCTCAGAGGTTTTTGTTTTGTTTTTTGGGCCACATCCCAGTTATGCTTAGTACTTATTCCTGGCCTTGCATTCAGAAGTTGCTTATGATGATGCTCAGTGGGGAGGGGTGCATATAGGATGCTGGAGATTGAACCTGGGTCAGACAAATGCAGGGCAAACACCTTGCCCACTATACTACCACTCTGGCCTGCTCAAAATTTCTTGATTATAATATAACTCATGTGTTGAGGACCAGAATTTTGCATTCTAGATTGGGAGTAAATTATTTAATGACCAATTCAGCAAGGGATCCATAACTTCTTTTAAAAAGAAAAATTAAATAAAAAGAAATGAGACCAGAGTGATAGGACAGTGGATAGGGCATTTGCCTTGCATGCATTAGGCCTCGGTTTGATCACCAATTCCACAAATGGTCCCCCAACCCAGCAGGAGTGGCTCCTGAGTGCTGCTAGACGTGACCCAAAAACAAAAACATAAAAGGGGTGAGATAGTAGAGTAAGGTTCTTGCCTTACATGCAGATGTGGCCTACCTGGCACATACGATCCCCTGATCCCAGCCTGGAGTAAGCCTTGAGCATAGCAAGGTGTGCATTCCTCCATCCCAAAAACAAAAAGTTATTTTTAAAAAATGCACTTGCTTTGGTTGTAGTAAAACTTTTCAGAGCATTGAGTAAATTACTTTCAAATAGTAATAGACAGTAACTATTTTGGCTAGAACTTAGGTGAAATAAAAATATAGGCGACTTCATTCTTTTTGGTTTTGTTTTGGGACCATATTCACATGATGCTCAGGATTACTCCTGGCAGTTCTTGGGGGTCATATGATATACTGTGGATCAAACCCAGGTCAGCACATGAAAGGAAAGCATCCTGCCCCCTGTACTCTATCTCCAGTCCCAACTTAAAATTACCTTTTGTTATTTAAAAATGAAGATTTTCTACTTTTTACCCATTCTTGGTAAATATGAATGTAAATTTTATATAGTTACCTATAATGTTTACATTTGAATGATGTACTAACTAATAAAGAGATTTTAATTTGGATACGTTAATAATATTGCTGTAAATCAGAGAATCTATTTTGCTACAAAGTAAAATTAACTGCCACTATATAATTATGTTACAACTTTACTGAGTATATTTAAATTAAGCTGAGGCTGAATTTAACAACTTGGCATTTGTTAACAGTGAAAATGTTACATCTTTTGAAATACTAAGTAAAATTTCTTTATCAGGGGCTGGAGCCATAGCACAGTGGGTAGGGCATTTGCCTTGCACACAGCCAACATAGCCAACCCGGGTTCGATTCCCAGCATCCCATATGGTCCCCCAAGCACCGCCAGGAGTAATTCCTGAGTGCATGAGCCAGGAGTAACCCCTGATATCGCCTGGTGTGACCCAAAAAGCAAAAAAAAAAAAAAATTCTTTTTCAGTGCTTGACATTTCAGGAGTAAATTGATTTTTCTTTTAAAAAAATGAATCAGATTGGTCGATTAGTTAGGCTTAGTAAAAGGCAACACTCACTAATCTATATTGTAATTGAGAAGAATTTGGTCAGAATGGTTTTTTATAATTGTACCAATTTTGCCCACAGAACACCTATTTCTGCGAGTTCGGGCTTTCATAAGTAAAAGATTATATTCCACAATCTTGATCTTCTTGGGTTTTATTTTATTTCTGTTTTGTTTTTTAATTTACTCTTTCCCATTAATGTTTATTTGGTTTCTGGTATTTCTTTATTAAAAATTGTGTATTAACATTGGCTGGACGGGTCATTGCAGTCACTTTTAGTAATTGCCTTTATTTGTTTTGGTGAATGTGGGATTTTTCAAAGGTTTCATATACTAAATTGGGAATATTACTTAGTGTAATGCACTGTCTGATGTTGTAAGATTATGTCCCAGGGATTAATACCCAATTATGGGGGGAAAAAAACATTTTTCCATACAGCGTATGGTTTCATAATAAATTTTATATTAATACATGACATCATGAGTTAAAACTGGAACAGAATTTGTTTATATATTTTTCTTTTTGGGTTACGCTCGGCAATGCACAGGGGTTCCTCCTGGCTCTGCACTCAGGAATTACTCCTGATGGTGCTCGGGGGAACATATAGAATGGTTGGAATCAAACCTGTGTCAGCTGAGTGCAAGGCAAACGCCCTTCCTGCTGTGTTATCGCTCCAGCCCCTGGGACAGAATTTTTGCTCTTTTAGGTAACACCTGACAATGCACAGGGGTTACTCCTGGCTCTGCTCCTGGCGGTGTTCAGGGGACCATATGGGATGCTGGGAATCGAACCCAGGTCTGTCTCGTGCAAAATGCCTTATCCACTGTGCTATTGCTCCAGCCCCTGGAAAGGAACTTCTATAGTGTGAATTAAGTAGCACTGTAACACTGTCCTCCCATTGTTCATTAATTTGCTCGAGCAGACCCAGTAATGTCTCCATCATGAAACATGTTGTTACTGTGTTTAGCATATCGAATATGTCACAGGTAGCTTGCCACGCTTTGCTGTGCGGGCGAGATACTTTTTTGGTAGCGTGCCAGGCTCCCTAAGAGTGGCAGAGGAATCGAACTCGGGTCAGCCGTGTGCAAGGCGAACACCTCACCCGCTGTGCTATCACTCCAGGCCATGGTGTATATTGGATATAAAAAATTAGATGCTCTAAGCAAGGGATTTAGCTCTGCAGTAGTAGACCTGGGTTCACTTCCCAGCACCATGGAAAAGGGGAAGGAGGAAGAGCAGAGAGCAAATAAAAAAGAATTAGAAAACTTTATTAGAAAACATTTTACAGTTATTTATTGATTGTTTTTATTTCTTTAAGACTACATATGGCAGGACTCAGGCTCAGGGCTTATTCTTGTCTCTATACTCAGGGATCACTCCTGGCAGGGATCAGGACCTCGTGGGGTGACGGGAATCAAACCCAGGTCTTGCCTTGTATGCTGCTGACCTGTATTATCTCTCCATTCCAATTATTCTGTTTTTGTGGTGTTTGGCTTATCTGACATATTAGGTCTTCTTAAGATTGTTTCTATAAATGAGTTTTTTTGAAGCATGACATTCAGTATTGTTTTTTCCAGTCAAAAAAGTTTTATATTCTTAAGTGGAACTTCACATATCAGAATCTTAATTTGTGGGTTTTTTTTTTTTTAATGTTGAAGTCTCAATTGCTCAAAAGATTTGTCCTGAGAGAAACTTACAAAGGTGACAGTTATTTGACCACAGGATTTTTTCCTTGGATTCTTGGGAATTGAATGATTTTTTTTTTTCCTCTTTGGGTCATACCCGGAGATGCACAGGGGTTACTCCTGCGCTCAGGAATTACCCCTGGCGGTGCTCAGGTAGCCATATGGGATGCTGGGAATCGAACCCGGGTCGGCTGCGTGCAAGGCAAACGCCCTACCCATTGTGCTATTGCTCCAGCCCCTAGAATGACTATCTTTTGCTTATTCTATAATTTTGATTTTATCAAGCACTGATGTATGCTTAAATTTTCAGTTGGGAGAGTGTGAAATACGAGAGAATCTGATGATATGATGTGGAATCAGATTAATTTCTGTATAATTAGAGCATTTGATAAAGTTCTCATCATTGCAATTAAAAATACAGAAATATAGAGCTATTCAGTTTTGTAACATGTCACCATTTTCATAATCTGATACATACATATCTTTAGTTTATTTTCTTTTTTCTTCACAGAGCAATGATGGAGAAGAACGATTAGCTGTTGTTCGACTTTTAGCTAAATTGTTTGGTTCTAAAGATTCTGATTTAGCAACTCAGAATCGTCCACTTTGGCAGTGTTTTCTTGGACGGTAAGAGAATATAAAATTTTGTGTATTCTGATGTATGTTTTAGAGGTCAATTTAGTTTGTTTTGTTAATTAAAAGCAAATATAGAAAAACATTGATTTTCTGTAGTATCTTTTATTTATAAGAAAATACCTATTTTCTTATCCAAGGAAAATAAGTTATGACATTTTCACATGAATAAAGCTTAAAACTTACGTGTGTTTGTGTTTAAAATAATGCTGTTGTCTTTAGGCCCATTTTCTTGGGCACCTTGGATTCCTCTCTTCCACATCCCACATTCGATCCAGCAGTCAGTCTTAATACTCTTCAAAATTCATCCAGAATAGGACCACCTCTTGTCATTGCCACCACCACCATCCTCATCCACGTCACTATCATCTTCTACCTGGATTATCAACATAGGCTCCTTTCTGTTCTCCCTCCCCTCTCCTTCCAACCCCCACCTCACCCCCAGTCTTCCACATAGCAATCAAAATGTAAGCTTCATATGTCACCCAATAAAATAAAGTAAAGCTATTAGATAGATGGTAGAGAGCACTATGAGAAAGCTGCTAACCTCAAGGTTTATAAATAATTTATGACTGGTACTATCCATGCAGTGTTTTGATTTGGAACATATATCAGTCACTGTTGTTTATCTCTTAGGTTTATAAATTACCTAAATGTATCTAAAGACCTAACCTGTGCTTTTAATGTTTTCTCACAAAATTTGGTTGTTGGGTTATGACATCTGTGAAATTTGATGAAATCCCCTCATATTGTATTTACATGTTTCTTTGATTTATATTGATTGAAAAGTTGAGTTTTAATTATTTGAGATAACATTTGAGTTTTGTGAGTGCTTTGATTCAACTGTTACATAAAGTGGAATAAAATTTTCTTCGTGTAAATTCAGTGTTGCTATCCTCAAAATAGTGCTAAGTTAAATACTCAAATGTAACTGATCTGAGAAATAGATTGTCATGATAACTGAAGTTACTTGCTCAAAACAGGCCATTTTGAAAATCTCAGTAGAACCAAATTACTTGAATTTGTAAAATTTTAGATGGTGAAGCTTTTATTTATACTTGCCAGTTTTCAGGGTAGTGAGTCCGTATATATTGATATTAGCAGTGGCATTGAGTTATTTATAAAAGCAATCATTAGAGACTTTTCTGTGATCATAAATCTGATTCACAGATTTAAATTATTAGTAGTTTTTGGTTTATTCTCTATTTAGCATTAGTATGTTATTTGCTTGATTATAAATAGGGACATCTTTAATTTTTTAGAGTTTTATGAAAAATTCAAGTTTTATAGCATGATTATTTTTATATAATAAGGAAAAAAGGCATAAAGATGATTTAGACCATATTAAGTAATTTTAGGGCATATTAAGTAATTTCTACCTAATGGTTTTTAATTTAAAAATCATTTAAAGTAATAAACTTTTTTTTAAAAAATTTAATATTTAGGCCACACCTGGGTGCTATATGGGATGCTGGGGCATCAACCCCGGGTCAGCTGCATTCGCTGCAAGTTCCCTACCTGCTGTACTATCTTTCCAGCCCTTAAAATTACTTAACATGTCTTAATTGCATTTAAAATCTCCATGAGGTGTTTTGTATTTATGAAATCTTTACAATATCATAGGCCCTTTTTTTTAAAAAATCTGCTGCACTTGAGTTTTGTTTTGAAAAGATTTAAGGACTTAAAACTGTGCTTAATATATAAGCTATTATAAGCTCAAAATTGTACCGTTTTTGGCATATCACTATGGTCAAAATAATGTAGACTTACATCCAAAAGTTCTTACAACCTCTCAATCCTGACATTGCTTTGTGACCATCTACAGCCACTGATATCTTGGCAGCCACTGATATGCTGTTACTGTAAATTGTTGCTTTTCTTTCAATTTCACGTAAATAAAAGCATACAGTATGCCGCACAATATAGTAGACCTATATAAAAGCATTTTAAATACAAGTTGATGCTAATCTTATACGAAACCATTTTCTTTTAAGACTGTTACATACATTTATGTACTTTTCTTGAAACTTCTTTCCTCATAAATTTTTTTAGTAAAATTTATGCATTTGGAGGGGCTGGAGAGATGATAATACAGAGGGAACAACACTTCTCTACATGTGGCCAATCAGGCTAATCAGGGTTGAATTCCTAGCCCCCAGTAAAGTCCCCTGAACCAACCAGGAATGATACTTGAGTTACAGGTCCAGGACCAGGCCTGAAAACCCACGGGTTATGGCTCCCAAACCCTGTCTCCCCAGATGTGCATTTTTAATATGCCTTCTTTGATTTGTCACAGAATTTTAAGCTTTCAAATTTTTATTTCTACAAGGAAGCTAGTTTGGATTGAGGGATAATGTTTACTTACAATAAATGAATTCTACTTTTAAATTAAGTATCTTGGGAACGGTCTAGTTCTCGCTCTCAGAGAACCCAGCAGGCTACCGAGAGTATCCTGCCCCCACGGCAGCGTCTGACAAGCTCCCCGTGGCATATTCAATATGCCAAAACCCAGTAATCATGATGGGTCTCATTCCCTTGACCCTGAAAGAGCCTCCAATGTGGCACTTGCTAAAATCTCAGGACGAGGACAAATGGAGATGGTACTGGTGCCTACTCAAGCAGATTGATGAACAATTTGATGTGAGTGATACAGTGATCTTGGGGACTAGAGAGATAGTATAGTAGGTTCGGTGCTTGTGTTGCATGTGGTCAACCCGAGTTCAATCGCTGGTATTCCATATGATTCACAGAGCCCTACCAGGAGTTACCCTAGGTGCAGGGCAAGGCATAGCCCATAAGCATCTGTGGGTGTGGCCCAAGAGCCAAAATAAATGCGTAAACTAGGTATCTTTTTGTTGTTGTTGCTTCAAAACGTATCATTTGTGAGAACATTTTCTAACTGGATAACTGTTGTTGTTTACATAGTTAAGATATACGTTATTTGAAAAGTTTGTCTTACAACTAACATTTAGCAATTTTCCTATGTAGATTTAATGACATTCATGTTCCTGTGAGATTAGAAAGTGTGAAATTTGCAAGTCACTGTTTAATGAATCACCCAGATTTAGCAAAGGATCTCACAGGTAAGCTATGTCAGTTATTAAGAATATTGGGCTGGAGCGATAGCAGAGTGGATAGGGCGTTTGCTTTGCGCACAGCTCACCCAGGTTTGATTCCCAGCATCCCATATGGTCCCCTGAGCACCGCCAGGAGTAACTCCTGAGTGCATGAACCAGGAGTAGCCCCTGTGCCTAGCCGGGTGTGACCCAAAAAGCAAAAAAATGAAAATAAGAGAGGGAATATTAATCTGGGGAGACTGGATAGGTCATAGAGCAGGTAGAATACTACTAGTCTTGCAGATTCTGACCCAGGTTCGATCACTAGCATCCTCTATGGTCCCTCAAGTACTGCCAGGAGTTCTTCCTAATTCCTGAGTGCAGAGCCAGGAATAATTGCCTGAGCATCACCTTTTGTAACCCAAAAACTAAAAAGAAGAAGGCGGCTATTAATTTGAGCACTGGAGAGGTAGCTCCATGGAATAAACAGAAACTACATGTAGAAGATTCACCAGCACCACATGGAACCCTGAACACAGTCCTTCTGGAAATAGTCCAAAAACAAAAGAAAGTGATGTACTCAGCTTCATTCTTAACTTCAGTGTTGAAAAAGTTTTAAATCTAGTCCTATCTTAGGTCCATCAGATACTAGCATTAGGTTTTATGTTTAGATAGTCGAAATTACATTTAAAGCATTCATTAAAATCTTTTGGAATTTGGAGCCAGAGAGATAGTACAATGGATAGGATGCTTGCCTTGTATATTGCCAACCCAGCATCCCATTTGGTCCCTTGAGTACTTCAAGGTGTGGTTCCAAACACCCCCCCCCAAAAAAAAAATTTAAAAAACAATGAAATTCCTTAAGATTATTATTTGAGAGCTGGAGTGATAGCCCACCTGGTAAGGTGTTTACTTTGCACACAGCTGACCCGAGATTGATTACCAGCGTCCCATATGGTCCACAGAGTACAGAGCCAGGAGTAAACCCTTAGCATCGCAGGGTGAGACCCCAAAACAGAAAAGAAAAGATTATTATTTGAGGAAGTAGATGCTGATGATAATTCGGTTTGAGCAATAATTATATCTGTGATAAATAATAGTGATTTATATAATAGTAATGAAAAAAGTGATACTCTTCTGGATGAGACTAGAATTTCTAATTCTTGTATATAAAACATTTAAATTTACTTATAAAAATGTTAACAAGGTGGTGCTTGCTAAAAAGGAAATGTTTTTATTTTCTTTGTATTATAATTATTGAGGGTGTTTTGAAAAAGGTCATTGCGCATTTTAGTTTTTTGGTTCTTTTTGTGCTCCTGAGGATCAGGAGCTAAACTCATAAGTCATATGGTCTACCAGTGAGCCACATGCTGGATCCATTTTTTTTTAATATAAATTGTGTAAGTTGTGGATTTGTATCTATCAAATAATTAACTATAAGTATTTACCATTTTTCTTTTAAATATTTTGAGACTTAAATTCTATATATAAACATTGTAATTTGACTTTCCTGGAATAATTGATACAACTATATTATTAAGACGTGACTCTACTATATGAGCGTACTGCAGTTTATTTGTGATTTTGTAGGATGTTTTTGTGTCAGAAATGACACATTTTATTATTTTTTTCTGTATTCACTAGAAGCTTAAAGCTTTAGTCTTTTCTACATATGTTACATAATATTTAGCTAGTTATTTTTTCATTACAGAATATTTGAAAGTTAGATCACATGATCCAGAAGAAGCTATTCGTCATGATGTTATTGTTACTATAATAACAGCTGCCAAAAGAGATCTTACGTTAGTTAATGATCAACTCCTGGGCTTTGTAAGAGAAAGAACTCTGGATAAACGGGTAAAATCTGTGTAATTTTAGTCTTTGTACTTTGCTTGATAGATGGCAGTGATTTGCATTAAATAATTTCCAAAGTGACATAGATATTTGATGATAAAGCAGTTCGTTTTTTTGAAAAACTTTGTTGACTTAATCATGTGGAAGTGTAATTGTACAAATTAGTAAAGGCATGCCAGTATTTGTAGATTAATATAGGAAAGTTTATCCAGTAAACTTACTATTTTATAGTGGTGGGTAAGAAAAGAAACTGTACATTTTGCTCAGCTTTATATAAAAGAAATTCTATCTTCATGGTGAAAGAAAATGAAGCTGCAGAGCTGGACAAAGGACAAACTTGCTCATGTAGTTTATCCTATAAACTTTTTATTTTCTAGTGGCGGGTAAGAAAAGAAGCTATGATGGGTCTGGCTCAGCTTTATAAGAAATATTGTCTTCATGGTGAAGCAGGAAAGGAAGCTGCAGAGAAAGTGAGCTGGATAAAGGACAAACTTTTGCATATTTATTATCAGAATAGCATTGATGACAAGTGAGTCTACTATGTTGATATAAATATTTGATTTTTAATAAAATTTCTTTCCAAAATCATTCTCCATATTATACAGGTTATATAAGAATCTAATGAGAATTTTTGTAGCATAATTAATAATAGTGCAGTAGACATGGGTTTTGAAATGAATAACACCAAAAACCAAGTGTCCATTCTGTTCATTAGTAGAATTGTTGTTTTTTTAGCAGGTCTAAAATACTCTGAAAAATTCTATTCATTGGACTTATTTGGATACAAATCTCACTAATTAGTGACTGGCTCTGTGTATGTTTTTATTCATAATACGAAATAACAAGTTGGTTTAGTAAAGAGGATGTTTTAATACTAGTAAGTATTATAGAGTATGGAAAGGAAAACGGTAAAATATATATAGGAAAAGTCAAATTTTACTGGCAAGTCAGTGTAAAAAGCTTGACCCTAATTTTACTATATGACGGTGTCAGAGCTCAGATGAACTCCTATACTTAGGAAATTAATATTGTATGTGTTTTGAGAATTCTTTATTCAGATCATAGCTTGATATTTAATGGTAAGTAGTTTGCTATAACTTATAACTGATGAAGAGTAAGTAGGGCAATCTAGTACTGCTGTTTAAGCATCACATATATCACTTTAAGAACAGATATTTCAAATGGGGGGATGGGCTCCTGCCATAGAGGTAGGCAGGGGAAGGGAGATGGGAGGAAACCTGGGGACACTGGTACTGGAAAATGTACACTGGTGAGGGATGGGTGTTAGAATGCTGTATGACTGAAATCCAGTCATGAACAGCTTTCTAAGGGTCTATCACAGTGATTCAATTAAAAGGTTGCTTTTTTTTTAAATAGATGATTCATATTGGAAAAAAATGTAAAGCCACAGATAGCAACTCTAGATCAAAATTCAAAAGTATCTATACTTTCAAGAAATGGAGCAAGTATTCTTACTATATACTGCTCTTTTCCACTGTATTTATAAGCAGGTTGTACCATTGATTTGCCTAAGCATGAGGTAGTTCACGATCACAACGATCACGACCATCCTGTTGTTCGTCGATTGCCTCGAGCAGGCCCCAGTAACGTCTCCTTCGTCCTAGCCCTGAGATTTTTTTAAAAGTGCTATATTAAAAGCTCTTCTAGGGTTGGGAGAATGAGACCCATCATTGTTACTGGTATTTGGCATATTGGGTACACCACGGGGAGTTTGCCAGACTCTGCCGTGTGGGCAGGTTGCATTCGGTAGCCTGCCAGGTTGTCCATGAGGTAGTTAAAATACAAAATAGCTGTTGCTTCAAAAGTGATAAAAGGTTTTTATTAATTGAAGTCTTTTTGTTTTATAGACTATTAGTAGAGAAAATCTTTGCTCAATATCTTGTTCCCCATAACCTGGAAACTGAAGAGAGAATGAAGTGCTTATATTATTTATATGCTAGTCTGGATCCAAATGCAGTCAAGTAAGTTTTTTTCTTCTCCTATTGGGCCATATACAGTGCCACTCAGGGCTTAATCTTAAATCTTGCCCAGGCGTCACTTTAGGGAGTGTTCAGGGAAGTCATGCAGTATCAAGAGTTGAGCCTGTGTTGGCCTAGTGCAAAGCAGTCACCATTATCTCTGCACCATCTCTCTGGCCCGTAAGTTACTTTTTAGTGAAGTATGGTTCAAATGCTGGCCAACTTCGACCATGAGTGTGGAGAGGTCGGACTGTAGCTAAATCTCACCAAGACAGTGTTCATGAAAAACGAACATCTCCAAATGCAGCAGCTATGTGTACCTGGGTCAAGAACTCAACGTGAGGAACGACTTGGTACCAGAAATGCACAGGAGGAAGAGCGAGGCCTTCAAGAGCCTCAGAGAAGTTGTTAAGAGGTTGAAGAACCTCCGGCTCCTGGCACATCTATGCGACTCCACCGTTCTTCCTGCACTAAAATATGCCTCGGAGACCTGGGGCCTACAAAAACAGGAAAAGAACGCTATTCGGATCATCCAAAGAGGAATCAAAGGAGCTATGCTTGGAGTATCACTCTTCACTCAATGAGAAAAGGAATTCGGAGTTCCGACCTCTGTCAACGATCAAAGATCAGGGACGCTGCCTCATTTGCCAAGATGTTGAAAATCAGATGGGCTGGACACGTAATCTAGTCTACCACTGGACTAGAGTCATTACTTACTGGATTCCACGGGACGTCGAAAGAATGTCTGGCCATCTACCTACAGGATCGTTGGACTTCTTTGTCAATACCCTGGTCAAACAGTTTGATGCTATTCGTGTTCCTGGAGTGAGCAGACACCATTGGGGCTACATTAGCACCAACAGGGTGAAATGAAGCTGGTACCTGTTCGAGCAAATCGACGAACAGGATGACAAGTGACAAGTGATGGTTAAAATAGTATTGATGCTTTTGATGTACAAAGTTATTGATCTGTAGGGAATTCCTCATGAAATGATTATTTAGATTGTTTCTAGAAGGTTTTCTAGAACTTTTTTATCTTAAAATTTTTTGAGGTTTTTACATTTTCTAGTTGAATCAGGAACTTAAAGTACTTATAAAATAAAAAAGATTCATGACTTAAGTTCAGAAAAGTTAAAGCAAAAATAATTCTGTTAGACATATTTGACAGGTGAATCAGTTACATGGTTTCATGAGTTCAAATTATCCTTTTTTTTTTCTTTTTTCTTTTTCTTTAATGCCTTTTGGATCACACCTGGCAATGCTCAGGGGTTATTCCTCACACTGCATTCAAGAATTACTCCTGTTGGTGCTCGGGAGACCATATGGGATGCCAGGGATAGAACCCAGGTCAGCTACATGCAAGGCAAACACCCTCCCTGCTGTACTACCACTCCAAACCCAATCATCAAATGTTCTTAATAGATTTTTTTCCCCTCAAGTTTAGTCATTTAATTTTTTTTTTCTTTCTTTTCTTTTTGCCACACTCAAGTCTTAACTCTTGGCTGTGCACTCAGGGACCACTCTTGGTGGACTCAGGGAACCTTATGGTGTGCAGAGGGTTAGACTCAGATCTAAAACATGCAAGGCAAGCATCATAACCTGCTTGCTGTACTCTAATTTTTTTCTAGTATTACATATACTTTTTTAGATTCTTTTTTCAATTTAATTTTGTCTGTTACTTCCTTGTTAGACTTAGATTCTACATTTTAAGCTGAAGTTCCACAGAGGTATCCTCATGAAGCACATGTCCTTGATAAATTATTAGCAAGCTCTGGCCATCTTCTTACTATTTGGAGGAACTTTGTGTGTGGTCCACTTTTGGCAGTACCAGGGTACCAAGTGGTGACAGTAATTAAACCTTTGATTCCTACATCCTTTGGATGTATTGTATTTCAACTTTTTAAACCATTTCCATGAAAACTGTTCCCAAGAAGCTTTGTGGGGTGTTTTGTTATGTTTTTAAATTGGTTTTGGCTTTTGTTTTTGGGTCACACCAGGCAGTGCTCGGGAGTTATTTGGTAGTGCCTGGAGGAACATATGGGGTGCCAGGGATCAAACCCAGGTTGGTTGCTTGCAAGGCAAATGCCCTGTCTGTTGTACTTTGCTCCAGCCACTGCCATAACATTTTAGGTAGCACTGTAGCACTGCACTGTCCTCCCGTTGTTCATATATTTGCTCGAGTGGGCAACAAATTGTGAGACTTTTTACTGTTTTTGGCTTATCGAATACATCACGGGTAGTTTGCCAGACTTTGCCGTGCGGGCAAGATACTCTTGGTAGCTTGCTGGTCTCTCCGAGAGAGGCAGAGGAATCAAACTTGGGTCTGCCACGTACAAGGCAGATGGCCCACCCGCTGCGCTATCGCTCCAGCCCAACATTTTAGGTAGTAAAACGTTTTTAGGTAGCGGCCTTTTAGTAGTAGTAACTTCTGGCCAGACGTTTGGTTCTCTGGTTTTATTTCCAAATAATTGACAGACTGCTCAAAGAAACACAAATTTCTGAATTGCTCTGGGTTTTTGTAACGTGTAAAGAGAAGAGTGCCTGTTTTTAATAGAGGAGTCAAGAATAAACAGTTAAAATTTGGCCATTGAAGTCAAATCTTTTCTTTTAAAAGATTGTACATGAATATTATCTCTCTATATCTTACATATCCCTTAGTCTGGCATTAAAATGAAGATCTTCCTGATCTAATTCTTTTTTGTGTGTTTTGTTTGCTTTCTAGGGATCACTTCTAGAAGTACTCAGGGTCCACTAGAACCACACATTGCAGTGCTAGGGAATGTAAGGATTAGATAGTGCATGGTATCAACCCAGGGCCTCTCACATGTTTGATGTGAGCTTAGCTATCTATACTGTATTTTCATTTCCCATGTTCTGATCCTTCCTTTCTTCGTTTTGTTCAGGGCTAACTCCAGGCTCTGCACTTAGGATCAATCCTGGGTTAATTTCATGCAAGACAAACACCTTAACTGCTGTAAAATCTCTAATCCCTTTTTGTTATTGTTTTTGCACACAGCAGTGATGATGAGGGGTTATTCTTGGCTCTGTACTCAGGAAATACTTCCAGCATTGCTCAGGGGGAATATACGGAATTCTGGGAATTGAACCAGGGTCATTCACATGAAAGGCAAGCACACGACCCACTATACTATCTCCTCGGCCCTTCTGGTCCCTTTTCTATAGTATATTATGACTTTCTGATGATCCCCACACTCATTAGCTGTCTCAGCCTATAATTGTTTTAATTTGCTAGGTATACCTTGTACTTTGACATTTCATCTTTCAGTTCTTTTCTTTCAGTCCTTTTAGTTTCTGGTTAATATTTAATTGATTCGTCTAAGCATCTCAGATATTTTCACTAATAAGCTGGGTTTTTTTTTTTTTTAGATAGTGCAATAGTACAACATATAGGGTACTTGCTTCGCATGTAGCCAACCCAGGTTCCGTCTCCAGCATCCCATAAGGTGTGCACCACCTCCTGAGTGCAGAGCCAGGAGTAGTCTCTGAGCATTTCGAGTGTAGCCCAAAAGCAAAGCAAAACAAGAAACTTTGGTTGAGGGGTGAGGTAAGGACGCTGGTTACCTGGTGGTATTCAGGGTTTACTTACTGCTCTGTGCCCAGGCATCACTCTTGTGGTGCCAGGAATTGAACCATTCCTTCTGGGCTTGTCTCTTTTGTCCATCTTATAAGACGCTTTATATTTACCATATTAGACTAAATTATTTTCTAGTAAACTTTCTGGTTCTTTTAATTTGATTGAAGAGTATAAGAATCATATCTTACAATAATTGGAAAAGTTAGAGAATTGAGAAGTGTTACTTTTTTATATTCTTGATTTGCAGAGCCCTCAATGAAATGTGGAAGTGTCAGAACATGCTTAGAAGTCATGTACGGGAACTATTGGATTTGCACAAGCAGCCTACAGTAGGTTCACCTTTAGTTTTGATTAAGTAAATGTCATTTTGTTAAATTCAGAAATTTTGTAGTTAGAGTAAAGTAAGGCAAGCAAAAAGTAACTCAGTAACTCAGTTCATATTTTCTAAATGAGTTAAATAAAATTTTTGTTAAGGTAAAGGTAAAGGCCCTCCCGTTGATCGTCGATTTGCTCGAGCGGGCCCAGTAACGTCTCCATTGGAGACTTTGTTGTTACTGTGTCTGGCATATCAAATACACTCGGTAGCTTGCCGGGCTCTCCGAGAGGGGCGGAGGAATCGAACTCGGGTCGGCCATGTTGGCCGCTTGTAAGGCGAACGCCCTACCCGCTGTGCTATCGCTGTTATCAGTCTATTTCCTTTGCAAACAAATTCAAATGCTAGCATGAGCAGACTAATTATTTTATCAAATATTTTAAGAATTTATACTTAGTTTATCGGTTTTTAGATAATATTCAAGATGTTAGAATTTTTTTCACTACTTGATTTTTCAGTATAGAAATCTAGTCAGCATTAATTTAGGCATTAGATAAAGATGTCAAAATAGAAGGAATTCTTTAAGTATAGAAGCGTTTTATACAGTGTGTAAAAGAATCTTGAGTAATCTCTTAATATACTTCTAAATGAATTTCCTTAGTATTTTTAAGAAATGACCCACAAAATATTTAGTAGAACTCTATTTAGGAGAAAATGTCCTCTGGGCTCAAGCAGTAGTACAAAGGATAGAGTGCTTGTCTTGGATATCCCAACCTACTGCATAGAGCAAGAGTGAGCCCAGAGCTTTGCCAGGTGTGGCCCAAAAACAAAATACAAAAAAAAAATTAATCTTATTTGAGTGCCAGAGCAATAGTACAGCTGGTCGGATGATCACCTTGCATGTTACTGACCCAGGTTCAATCCCCAACATCCCATATGATTAAGGGCTGCCAGAGGTGATCCCTGAGCTCAGAGCCAAGAGCAAGCCTTGAGCTCAGCCACACCTCCCCCCCTCAAACCCCCCCCCCAATAAAATAAAAATAGTTTTATTTGGTATTTGATTTCACAATTTTTTTGGAGGGTTTCTTCCAAGTTCAGTGGGCCCCAACGATAACTACTGACAATAATCAGTAAACAGGGCTAGGAGTTCAAAGTTATGATAAGTGGATGGCTTATCTGTTGGCTCTCTGTTTCTTTGCTTTTGTATTTTATTTTGTTAATGTATCATTATATAAATGTTCTTTTTTTTGTTTTGTTTTAAATTTCAGTCAGAGGCTAACTGTTCTGCCATGTTTGGAAAACTGATGACCATAGCAAGTGAGTAAGTTTATTCATTCTGTGGATAAATACAAATGCAGACAAATCCTTTACCATGTATACTATCAGTTTTATAGTAAGTAAGGAAAATAACCCCTTTTACCATGATGGTGCCCTTCTGGCAGTGCCTGAGGGTTGCTTCAATAGGTGATTGTGGAACCATTTCTTGCTGGGGATTGATCACAGGGTGCTTTAATGCAACTCCTATTTTTTGTTGCATTTTTCCTTTATCATACTGCACCAAATAATCTTTTCCTTACTAATTTTATTTCTAAGACTCTTACTTTTTTTTTTTAATTTTTATTAGACACCATGAGGTACAGTTGTAGACTTACAAATTTTTGTGCTTGGGCTTCAATTATACAATGATCAAATACCCATCCCTCCACCAGTGCCCATTTCCAACCACCACGGATCCCAGTATCCCTCCCACCCCCACCCCCCTCATCCCCCTCATCCCCTCCATCCCCCCCTGCCTCTGTGGCAGGGCATTCCCTTTTGTTCTCTCTCTCCTATTGGGTGTTGTGGTTTGCAAAAGAGGCAATGGGTGGCAATCATGTTTGGTAAGACTCTTACTTTTTTATGATTCCTTTTATTTCTATTTTGGGACCATACCTGGCCTTATTCATGGGCTTCTCTCAGGTTAGTGCTCAGGGGTCACTTTGGTGGTACTTTGGAAACCAGTGCAGTGCCAGGGATTGAACCTCAGTCTCCTGCATTTAAAGTCTTTGTTCCAGCCTTTTGAACTAACTCCTCTGAATTACTCTTTTCCTAGTAATTAATTGTCTTCTTAGGAGCTAAGTTGATTGCATTTTGTTGTCTCAGCATTATTTTTAAGATAATCTTTTTTTTAATGTTCATTTGTTTTTCATTTTATAGAAAATTTACCTGACCCTGGAAAAGCACAAGATTTTGTGAAGAAATTTAACCAGGTTCTTGGTGATGACGAGAAACTGAGGTCTCAATTGGAATTATTAATCAGTCCAACTTGTTCCTGCAAACAAGCAGATGTTTGTGTGGTTAGTTCTCATTTGTTTTGCTAGCTTTGCTTTTAGAAACTTAGATTTATACTTCTCTTTATTAAAATACTGTTCAGCAAGACTCCAACAGAAAAACTAATACAGAAACATTGAGTTCTAATAAGTGAGCAAGATAAAATACTTTTTTATATGCATTTTAAGATATTTTCATTTGAAATCATGCAGTATGTAACATTTTTATTATTGACTGCATTTTTTCCTCATTGTTTCTCAATGATTACTGCTTTATTTGCTTTATTCGATGGTATGGGTATACTGCTTATTTTCATTCATTAAAGTAAGTAAAGGCCCTCCCGTTGATCATCGATTTGCTCGAGCGGGCCCAGTAACGTCTCCATTGGAGATTTTGTTGTTACTGTGTTTGGCATATCGAATACGTCACGGGGAGCTTGCCAGGCTCTGCCGTGCAGGCGAGATACTCTTGGTAGCTTGCCGGGCTCTCAGGAATCGAACTCGGGTCGGCCATGTTGGCTGCGTGCAAGGCAAACGCCCTACCGCTGTGCTATCGCTCCAGCCCATTTTCGTTCATTAGCCTGGTTGATTTTTTTTCTTTCCATGTGGGTTTTTAGTTTGTTTGTTTTTGGGGGGGCTGGCTATTATGAATTAGATTTCCATGAATGTGTATGGTTTTGGATCTAGTTAAACACAACTCTTTGAGCTGCAAACTATTCAAAGGTAGCCAACTAAGGTTTTCTCATTATTACCCATAGGTTTGTTGTCCTTTATACAATCACCTATTTTAACTTTTTTGGTCTTTGCTTGTTTTTGTTTTTGAACACACCAGCAGTGCTCGGGGGTTACACCTGGTTCTGCACTCATGATCACTCCTGACAGAGCAGGACTGAGGGACCATATGGGACGCTGGGAATTGAATCCAGGTTGGGCATAAGTAAGGCAAATTCCTTACCCACTGTACTGTCATTTCAGCCCCATTAAAGTTAACTATTTTAAACATAGAGCATTAATTGACCTGTTCATCCCTGCACTGCACATGTTCACCTGTTCCTTACCCCTTACCCCATCCAGTCCGCTAATGCACCGCCAACAGCAACTCCTAAACCAGAGTCAAGAATAGCCCCTTGAGCACTGCTGGGTGTAGGGACCCCCCTCTCTCCAAAACGAGAAAGGTTGAAATAAACTCTTTCTGCAGTTTCATCGGGAAATTAGAAAATGAGAAGTACAGGTATGTAATTAATCCACTTTCTCTTCTCTAGAAGCCATGTTTTGCAGCCTGTGTCCAATATATACCTTAACCATGTTACAAAGTCTGAAAAGATTTTCTTTTATTAGTTTTGAATCTTTAATAATTTTGATGTCTACAATAGTGTTTTTCTTGAAAAATAACAGCGAACACTGCTTACAGCAAAACTTTTTCTTTTTCTAGAGAGAAATAGCTCGAAAACTTGCCAATCCTAAGCAACCAACAAATCCTTTTCTAGAGATGGTCAAATTTCTGCTGGAAAGAATTGCACCTGTGCATATTGATTCCGAAGCCATAAGGTAATCCAGGAAATATGTTCTCTGAGAAACAGAAAATACTATAAAACTTGTGAGATAGATATATGTATGTTTGGTTTTGGTTTTGGTTGCAGTTGTTTTGGTATTGTGATCACATCTTTTGGTGCTCATGGATTATTTCTTGCTCTGTGCTCAGGAATCACTACTTCTAATATTCAGGGGGTAAAATCAAACCCAGATTGGCTGCATGCAAGGCAGATGCCCCACCCACTGTACTTCCCTACCTACTCTACTGTCTCTATCCCTTGAGTAGTTGGTTGGATTTGATTTTTGTTTTTGTTTTGGGAATTTTTTTTTCTGGTTTGGGGCCTTTTGAGTCACATCCAGCGGTGCTCAGGGTTATTTCCTGGCTCTGCACACAGGAATTATTTTTGGCTGTGCATGAACGGATCAAATGGGATGCCAGGGATTGAACCCAGGTCAGTGGTGTGCAAGGCAAATGCCTAACTCACTATATTATAACTCTGGCTTTCTTGAGATTTATTTGGTGTGTTTTCCCCCACCTCCTTTATTTTTTTTGAGGGGGGGTAAGAGGACCACATCTAGTAGTGCTCAGGGCTTACTCCTGTCTCTGCACCCAGGGATCACTTCTGCATGGTTTGGTGATTGAACTTTGGTTGACTACCCAAAAGGGAAATATCTTATTCATTATACTATCTCCATCTTCTGAATTACACTTTATTTGGGGCAGGGACCCAACACCTGGCTGTGCACAAAGCTTACTCTTTGGCAAGACTTGGGAGATATATGTGGTCCCATGAATCCTTACCCACTTGTATTTCACTCTGTCCCTTGAAGTACACATTTTAAATAGATGAATTGTATCGAATATAAATTATATTTCGAGCTAATGTTTATATGCATTGTAAGTTTTAAAGTTATTCTTATAATACTAAAGGGCAAATTAAAATAAATAATGGGGGGCTGGTACAGTAGTATAACAGTTTTGCCTTGCAGATGGCTGCCCCAGGTTTGATCCCCAGTATCCCTTATAGTCCTCTTTGCACCACCAGGAGTAATTCCTGAGTATCGCCAGGTATAACCCAAAAAGCCACCCCAAAAAATAAGTTATTAATAGGATTTTGATTTTAGAGACTGGCATCATGTTTCTTTTATATTTAGTTTTTTGATTTTATGTAATTAAGTTTGAATGTAATAATTGGAGTCGTAGAAAGATAGTAAGTGGATAACCTTTTTTGCATTGCTCATGCCCAACTCCAGTATCGCATAATGCCCTCTGAGCCTGGCTCAGAATGATTGCTGAGCACAGAACGAGGAGAAAACTCCAAGCATTGGCGGGTGTGGCCTATAGAAACAAGAAAACAAACAAATGCAATAATTTTTTTTTCCCTTTTTGGGTCACACCCAGCAATACATCAGGGTTACTCCTGGCTCTGCCCTAAGGAATTACTCCTGGCAGTGGTCAGGGGACCATATGGGGTGCTGGGAATCGAACCCGGGTTGGCTGCATGCAAGGCAAACGCCCTACCCACTGTGCTATCGCTCCAGCCCCAAAATGCAATAATTTTTAATATACATACATAACACCTAAGGAAAAACTAAACCTGAAATTCTTAGGATAAGTTTTTATTCTTTGAGTGCTTGCTATGACTGTAACAGATTTAAGGTATTAATCTTCCAAATAAGTTTTTGTTTCAGATTACTTATGAAGCAATAAATCTCAATGCAAATATCACAGATGTTTTTACCTAAAGTAATACCATGTTGCTGTGTATTCAGATTTTTATAAACCAAGTAATTTGTGGTGATGGCTATATCTGGAAAACTTATTCTTTTAGGCAATAAGCATTGACTGTGAATGTAGAATAAAGATAGAATATGTAGAGCATATTAATATGAAAATAATACAAATATTTAATACTTCTTAAACTTACTGATTCAGTAATTAATTGCATTATTAATTAAATCTCTTTCCCCTGCCTTTGCTCTTTGTTTTTAATTTGCTTATTTATCAATTGCCATCCTACTGTTTTTCTGCAGAAATAGATGGAAAAAAGAGATATGTAATCTCTTTATGTGTGAAAATTATTTACTAAAGCATATTCCTAGCATTTGTGTACTCTAATTTGAAAGTTATTTGTCTGTTGCTACTTTTAAATATTGACTTCAGAGGGTGAACGTAAATTGAAAATAATCTCAGCTGTCAAGTAGAGCAGTGTAGCACTGTCCTCCCATTGTTCATCAATTTGCTCGAGTGAGACCAGTAACTTCTCCATAATGGGACTTGTTGGCATATTGAATACGTCACGAGGAGCTTGCCAGGCTTTGCCGTGCGGGTGAGATACTCTCGGTAGCTTGCCGAGCTCTCCAAGAGGGGCGGAGGAATCGAACCCGGCTCAGCCGGGCCGGCTGTGCACAAGGCAAACACATTCCCCGCTGTACTATCACTCCAGCCCCAAAATACGAAATTTCATGGGGAAACTATTGCTTCAGAAATTTGAATCTTGTGTTTTGAGTCTTTATATATTTTGTCACAGTGCAGTTAGAGTACAGGAAATATTACTCTGGTAGTGCTACTAACTTAGATTTTCTTGTTTTACTAGTGCACTCGTAAAATTGATGAATAAATCAATAGAGGGGACTGCAGATGACGAAGAGGAGGGTGTAAGTCCAGATACAGCTATTCGTTCTGGGCTTGAACTTCTTAAGGTAATTTGAAAATATTTTGTTACTTTAATTCCCTTACCTTTCAGACAACCTGCAGCTAAGGTATTAGAACTGTTCACAGGAAGTGTTTCATGACAACACCAGTCTGATTAGGAAAATTTTACTATTAACTGGTGCCCCAAAATTGAGCAATTTACAAAAACTGTTGAGGCAAAGCTTTGGATAGGATATGTCTTAGTGTAGGGAACACTGCAACAGCATCAGATAGTAATTCTTGTTGTTGTTTTTTTTTTCCTTAAATTTTTATTAGTACAACACCATGAGGTACAGTTGTAGACTTACAAATTTTTCTGCTTGGGTTTCAGTTATACAATGATCAAATTCAAATACCCATCCCTCCACCAGTGCCCATTCTCCACCACCACAGATCACTGACCCCAGTATCCCTCCCACCCCCCATCCCCCCATTCCACCCTACCTCTGAGGTCGGGCATCTCTCTCCTTTTGAGTGCTGTGGTTTGCAAAAGAGACATTGAGTGGCAGTCATGTTTGGTCTGTAGTCTACTCTCATCACGCAATCAGATAGTAATTCTTACCATATTTTACTGGTTGTTGAAAGTCTAGTCTGACTCCAGGAATAAATTCTTTTGTATTGTGGTAGGTAAAAAATAGAGAGGCCTGGAGTGATAGTACAGCAGGGAGGGCATTTGCTTGCATGTGGATGACTCAGGTTTGATCCCCAGCATCCCACATGGTCCCCTGAGCACCGCCAGGAGTGATCCCTGAGTACAAAGCTAAGAGTAACCCCTGATCATCGCCAGGTCTGACCCAAAAAGTCAAAATAAATAAAAATTAAAAAGAGCTTTACTTCAGTGGAATAAAGAGAAAAAAACTTAAGATCAAGAGCAGTTGATATCAGGGCGAGGAAGACATTTCACAGTTGAAAACTGCCACAGGTATGTGGGGGCGGAGGGCAGTTAGGATAGAGAAGGGTCCACTATAACAATAACATTTGGAAATGATCGCTCTAGACAAGAACTGAGTGTTGAAAGTAGGTGAAGGGATTATACATGTTAACTTTTCAGTGCCTTTGCGAACCATAATGTCCAAAAGGAAATGGGTGGGGGAAGAAAAAAGTGCCTGGCATAGAGACAGGCAGGGCATCTGGGTGCAGGCGGGTAACTGGGGACATCTCCACTGCCATCTGTCACTCTAGCCCCACTATTATGACCTTTTATGACAGATTTTTTTTTTTTCTGTTTCAGTCACAGCAATGCTCAGATGTTAATTCCTGGCTCTGCACTCAGGAATTACTCCTGGCAGTGCTCAGACGACCATATGGGTTGCTGGGGATCGAACCCACATCAGCTATGTGCAAGGCAAATGCTCTCCCCACTATACTATCATTCCGGCCTTTTTGTGACAGATTTCACTTAAAATTTTATCTTTTCTTGAAACCAGATAGAGTACAGAGGTTAAGGTGCTTTTCTTTGAAGAAGCTGACCCGTTTGATCCCAAGCACCACATAGTGGTCAGTTCTTCTAGCACCCTCAAGAATAATTCCTATGGTGACTTGAACGATAGCATAACGGATAGGGTGTTTGCCTTGCACACAGCCAATCCGAGTTCGATTCCCAGCATCCCATATGGTCCCCTGAGCACCACTGGGAGTAATTCCTGAATGCATAAACCAGGAGTAATCCCTGTGCATTGCTGGGTGTGTTCCAGTAAAACTAAACAAATAGAATAATTCCTAAGGCACATATGCTGCTCAAACCCATGTGCTGCTTGCGCCCATGTGGTCAAACACATGTGGTACTCGAGCACATGTATTGCCTGTATCTCCCCTCTTGAGACTTTTCCTGTCTAATGCTGAGATATAGACTTTTCCTGTCTAATGCTGATTATAGGGGCTCTCTCTGCCCTTGGAGAAGCTGCATTCTTCCTTGAATGCATCTCTCTCTCTCCCCCCACCCTCCCTCTCCCTCTCTCTTCCTCCCTCTTCCTCCCCCTTCTCTCTTTCTCCTCTCTCCACCTCCCTCCCTCTCTTTCCCCACCTTTCTCTCCCTCCCCTTTTCTCCCTCCTCACCTTCAGAAACAATTCCTAAGCCAGGAGTAACTCCTGAGCACCCCCCGATTGTGGCTTTAGGCCCAAAATTAAATTTTAGTGTAAATTTAATTAAACAAAATTTGCTTAGAAAACATGAGGAGAGAACAGGAGAGTACATGTTTAATATAGAACGTGGGCTTCTCCAGAATGGAAAAAGTCTGTTTTTAAAAACTTTGCAGTTTCTCGGGGTCCAGCAGGACCACAGTTGGCAGTGCTCAGGTTACCATATGGTGCTGGGGATAAAACCCAGGATCTCATTCATGCTAGGCATGTACCCCTCCACTTGTACTATATTCCTCTTGAAATGTTTTGGAAGAGTGGAAAGATAGCACAGCAGGTAAAGTACTTGCCTTGCACACAGCTGATCCCAGTTCAGTCCTTGGTGTCCCATGTAGTTCCCCTGATTGCTGCCAGATGTGGCCCAAAAGCAAATAAATTGAAGGGGTAGAGTAGCTAACTCTAGATAATTGCATGCTTCAAATGTGTGAAATCCAGGTTCATTTCTGAGCACAACCAGAGGTGACCCTCAAAATAAGAAAAATTCTTAGGATCTTGTCAGTGAATTAAAGCTGTGTTAGCATTTTGTTCATATCACAGTATTGCTTTGCACAGATAAGCCATTTCTACATTCTCATTGTCAGAATAGGTTGAAACGTAAAATAGACAATACAGCAAGGTCTGTATTCTCAACGAATTAAATCTACTGCAGAGTATTTCTATTGATACTGTCTTATTTGGATAACTAACACTAAGCCATAGCTAAATGTAAGAGAAGCTACTAGATAAGTATAGCATTTTCTGTAACTTATGCAGCCTCACACTTAAGTATTTATAGTAGAAAGGATCCCCCGTCCATAACCTGCAGGGTCTGTATAACTTTTAGGGCACTTTCCTTGTACACTCTGCTAAACTGATCTCCAGAATTTCATATGGTCCCCAGAAACTGCCAGGAGTGAGCCCAGGGCACAGACGGATGTGGCCCAAAAAAACAAACCAAAAAATGAAGAAATAGTTCTAGTTTTTAATGGATTAAAGTCATTGTCTGTACTTCTAAGAAATGTCTATTCCTCCAGGTTCTGTCTTTCACACATCCTACCTCGTTCCACTCTGCAGAGACATATGAGTCCCTGTTACAGTGCCTCAGAATGGAAGATGACAAGGTAGCAGAAGCTGCTATACAAATTTTCAGAAATACAGGCCACAAGATCGAAACCGACCTACCCCAGATACGATCGTGAGTATATATTTTCTCATGTATGTCAAAGATTTGCACATGGGTTCGTTGTTTGTTTCAATTGAAAAAAAATAATGGAAAGGAAAATCAATTTTTATTTAGAAACTTTTTTTTTTTTTTTTTTTTTTTTTTTGCTTTTTGGGTCACACTCGGCAATGCATAGGGGTTACTCCTACCTAGCTCTGCATTCAGAGATTACTCCTGGCAGTGCTCAGGAGACCATATGGCTTGCTGGGAATCGAACCCAGGTTGGCCACATGCAAGGCAAACGCCCTACTCTCTGTACTATTGCTGCAGCCCCTCTGCCTTATACTTTTTATATATATATATAGATATGTGTCTGTGTGTATAGATATATATAGAGATAGATATCTATACTCACACACACACATCCCCAGATAAAACTTCGTTTGTGCCAAAATGATATTAAAATGTTAGTCAACAGAAGATAGGATAATTTAGAATTGGTCATTTAATGTATTTTATCTGTATTTTCCATATCTAGTATATTGTTCCTTTTTGCTCCGGATATTTTTGGTGGAAGGCAGCCACACTCAGCAAGATCAGGGCTTACTACTGACTCTACTCAGGAATTAACTCCTGGTTGGCTCAGGGAACTGTATGAATTCAGGAAATCAAATGTGGTCGGCCGAGTATAAGGCAAATACCCTAACCTGGTATACTGTTGTTCTAGTCCCTCCAAATGGGTTTTTAATTCAATAACAATTAACTATTACTTTCAAATCACACCAAATAATGGGTTATAATTAAGAATTGTGCTTTATAAAAATTTTGTTAGTAGACCAGAGAGATAGTTCAGTAGAATGAGCACAGTTTTGATTGTAGGAGGTTTATATTTGTTCCCTAGCACCATACATGTGTCGTTTCCCCCCCTCCCCCCCACTGCAATACATAACCACTGGCAGTGACCACTAAGCATCTGTTCTCAAGTTATTCTGGGCACTACCAGGTTGTTGGCAGTGATAATTTTATTGGTTTTTTTTTCTCCACTCTTTTTTTGTTTTTTGTTTTGTTGAGCTTTAAGGTTGAGTTTTTGTTTTTGTTTTGGGGTCATACCTGGTTATGCTCCTGGTTTGCTGTACCCAGGAGTGTTCCCTGGCATTGATCATGGATCATGGTAGGGATTCAGCTCAGGGTCATCCACATGCAAGGCAAGCAAGTGCCTTACCTCCCATTCTGTTTTTGCTGTTCTATCTTTCCATTCAGAAGAGTAAATTATCTCTGTAGGCCTATGGTTAAGTGATAGAGCACTTATCTTGCCTATGTGAGAGCTTAGATTATATTTTTGTGTGCAGGGTTTTACCAAGGTGTAAGTAAGTGCTTTAGTATTGTCTGTCTCTATAGTTCTAGTGGTATTTTATTTCAGATACTATAACAGGTAGGACACCTCTCTTGCATATAGCCAATTTGGGTTTCATCCTCAGCACTCCATATGGTCTCCCAACCACTTCTAGGAGTGAGCTTTGAGGACTGCTGAATGTGGCTTAAGATCCCACAACCACCCCACCACCACCCCGCACACACACACACACCCCCAAAAAAGTATATATTTTTATCATAATGTGTAGAAGCAATAGACTTAATGCTCAACCAGTGAAGTCTATTTCTGCATGAAAATTCATAGTTTCATAACTACACCGACAATTAAAGTCATTTGTGGATATCAAATACTGATATATGTTTTTATCTCTTCACTTGACATGCTTGGCTGGGTTGTTTTTACATTTTGTGTGTGACCAGGGATTAAATTCAGGACCTTCTACATGGAAGGCATGTGTGAGGTATTATTCTTTTTCTTTGTTTGATACTGGTTTTTGGAAACAGAGCCTGAAGTATGCCCTGAGCTCAGAAACATGAAATGGAAGCAGGGAAGGAAAGAGAGAAAAAAAGAATTGAATTGAATTGGGGGGCTGGAGAGATAGCACAGCGAGTACGGTGTTTGCCTTGCACACGGCTGACCCGGGTTCGATTCCCAGTATTTCATATGGTCCCCTGAGCACTGCCAGGAGTAACTCCTGAGTGCAGAGCCAGGGGTAACTCGTGTGCATCGCCAGGTGTGACCCAAAAAGCAAAAAGAAAAAGAATTGAATTGGTCAAGAGACAATACAACAGGCAGGGTACTAGCCTTGGATACTGACAACCCAGGTTCGTTACCTGGCACCACATAGTGTCTATCACATACCACCAGGAGTATTCTCTGGGCACAGAGCTAGAAGCAAGCAATGAGATTGCCTGGTGTGACAAAAGAAGGGGTGGCGCGGGGGTGGGAAGACTACAAAGGAAATGGAAATCAGAAATACCTACTGTGATATACCATGTTTCTTAGTAAATTATGTTGGAGAAGTTTTAGTAAGAAATGGTGACATTTAGGGACTGAAGTGATAGTACAGCGGGTAGGGTATTTGCCTTGCACATGGCCGAGCTGGGTTCGATTCCCAGCATTCCATATGGTCACCTGAGCACCGCCAGGAGTAACCCCTGTACATCGCTGGGTGTGACCCAAAAAGCAAAAAAAAAAAAGAGAGAGTGTTGGTGACATTTATTTCCCCATATTCAATACATAGTACCAGGGGCTGAAACAGTAGTACAGCAGGTTGGGCAAAGTGTAGTGACATGTAAATAAAATTGTATACTTGTAACATTTTTCTTAAAGCATTGTATTTTTTGGATTATACTTAATGTTTTGGAAATACAGTAGGGGTTGGAGCGATAGTACAGCGCCTAGGGCGTTTGCTTTGCACGAGGCCAACCTGGGTTCGATTCCCAGCATCCCATATGGCCCCGCAGCACCACTAGCAGTATTTCCTGAATGCATGAGCCAGGAGTAACCCCTGTGAAAAGCCATGTGTGACCCAGAAAGAAAAAAGAAAAAATACAGTTAAAAAAAAAGTCAGCAAATTTAAGAATTACTTATGGTTTGTGCAATTTTTCTGATTAAAGTCTTTTTCTTTTTGACAGGACCTTAATACCCATTTTACATCAGAAAGCGAAAAGAGGTACTCCACATCAAGCAAAACAGGCCGTTCACTGTATACATGCCATTTTCACTAATAAGGAAGTTCAGCTTGCACAGATTTTTGAGGTATATATAACTTATAAAATGTGTTTTTAATCTGATTGAAATAAAAGCTAGATTTTGTTTTAACTGTTAATACTACCCTACTACATAAATTTCATGTGGGCATAAATTCTTTTTTAGTATTACATTCCCAGCATTTAGATGAGGTTGTTTTCAAACACTTTATAGTTCAGGATTATTGAGTTGTGTTATTTTTGAACACTATAATTTTAACCTTAATGGTTCAGTAATCCATTTATCATCACAGATCACCTGATTTTAACACCATACACTCTTACCTGGAAATTATTCCTGGTTGGCTTTTATTTACCAAGCTATTCCTGTTACTATAGGTTCTATGTGTAGGAAATGGTTCAGAAGGCTATAGTGTGTTGCTTTGCATGTAAATAAAACTCATATACCATCCTTAGCACTAATGATTCTCTGAGCACCAACCAGTATTACACCAGCATTAGTGGATATTATCATCCATTCACATTTTTGATACATGTGGACAGAACCTAGTAATCCTTGTTTTTTAAATAGGAGACACCCCAACAGTGGTAGAAGCAGGGAAGCTAGTAGTGATGCTTTTCCCCACCATTTGGATCAGATAGATGATTTAGGGATCATTAGGTCCACACTCTTTAGTGCACAGGAAAAGGTGATATTCTGGGGGCTCAAACTCAGATCCTCACACACGGTAGGCATGAGCTATGTCCTCAGCCTGTTAATTCCTATTTTTGTTTTTCTTGTCTAGGGACTTTCAAAACACTCCACGAAATAAGATATCAGTGATCTAGTTTTTGATTGAAAATAACAGTTTAGGGGCTGGAGCAATAGCACAGTGGGTAGGGCGTTTGCCTTGCACACGGCCGACCTGGGTTCGATCCCCGGCATCCCATATGATCCCCCAAGCACTGCCAGGAATAATCCCTGAGCATCGCTGGGTGTGACCCCAAAAGAAAAAAATAAATAAAAATAACAGTTTAATGCATTAGTCTTTTTATTTCTACCTTTTGTATAAGCATAATGAGTTCTTTTTCTTTTGTGTTTTTGCTATTATTTTGTTGTTGTTGTTAAATTTTAGTAGGGAAATAATTATTTTCTAATAGTGTGTTACTTTTGATGACATTATTGAAACTAAATTTTTTTTTTTTGCTTTGAATGGACATTTACTTTCTCCATAGAATGTGTAGATACCTATAAAATAAAATGCTTGTTTTTATTGTTTTTATTTTTATAGCCACTTAGTAGGAGTCTGAATGCTGATGTACCAGAACAACTTATAACTCCATTGGTTTCATTGGGTCATATTTCTATGTTAGCACCTGATCAGTTTGCTTCCCCAATGAAGTCTGTAGTAGCAAATTTTATTGTGAAAGATCTTCTAATGAATGACAGGGTAAGTGTCTCATTTAAATAAATTCAGAATCATAAATTTAATAATTTGTATAAGAAGCATTTCTGATTCATTTTTTGTGATTTCATATTCTGTATTACTTTCTTACTTCTTTTTCTCATATTTTCAAACTACACCCTGACTTCTCTGGCCTGGAGCGATAGCACAGCGGGTAGGGCGTTTGCCTTGCACGCAGCCAACATGGCCGACCCGAGTTCGATTCCTCCGCCCCTCTTGGAGAGCCTGGCAAGCTACCGAGAGTATTTGATATGCCAGACACAGTAACAACAAAGTCTCCAATGGTGACGTTACTGGGCCCGCTCGAGCAAATCGATGATCAACGGGAGGGCCTTTTACTTTTACACCCTGACTTCTCTAGAAATTAATATTTAAGAAATAAGATAATGGAGAGAAGCAATAGATGATGTGACCTGAAAACTCTAACACAGATAATATTATCTTAACCCTTGAAGGACAATTTACTGGAGCAGTAGAATTTTATGAATGTTCGTAAAACTATGGAATGGTATTTCACGTTTTAAAATATAATGACATTTCACTCTTGACATCAAATTAGCGCACTGACTTACTGACTGAAACCAAGTAGCTCGAAAGGGCTTCCTAAGTGATTTCTGAAACGGACCTCTGGTTAAGTATTCCATTTAGGAGCTATAGAGATAGTACAGCAGTAAAAGTGCTTGCCTTGAATACAGCTGATCTGGGTTCGATTCCCAGCATCCCATATGGTTCCCCAGGCATCACCAAGTGTCACCCAAAAGAAAGAAAAAAATTTTTTTCTTATTTATTTTTAAAGCTAATCTTGACTAATTTAGACCAAGTATGGAGCTCATTCGTAGAGCATTTATGAGAACTTGGTTCCATCTTTGGCACTACAAAAAGGGGGGAAAACGGGACAGAGCGACAGTACAGCGTATAGAACATTTGTCTTACACACATTCAATCCCAGTTTCTATCCCCAGCATTCCATACCCCGACCACTCCAGGAGTAAACCCTGAGCATCACCGGGTGTGACAGAAAAAGCCAAAAAAAAAAAAATGGAATCACTACATTATCAGTTGAACCTGAATTGAATAGCTTTTGAGTAATCAGTCTTTTAGTCTTTTACTGGATCATTATGGATGACTTTAAGGGCAGCAAGCACTAAGTCATCCAACTTATTTCTAATTCTACATGGTCTTATGTTTTTTGAGCCTGTAATATTTGAAACTTAAATGATTCTTGCTTATGGCGTCTGAGACGTGATACAATTGGGAGGATGTTTCCTTGCACGTAGCTAACCCAGGTCAGTCCTGCACACCACACCCCCAAGTTCTGCTGGTGTGGACCAGAAACCAAATACCAAAGACATTGATGAGTCAGAGAGATAGCTGAATGGGTTGGAGCATATGCCTGGCATACACAAGGCCCCAGATACGTTCGCTGGCACAGCATGGCATCTTAAGTGTAGCTATGTATCCCTGGTGGCCTCCTTCCACGACTTTTTTCTGTACTCATTTGTGATGTTCTTTGTGCCATTTATAGATATGGATAAGGAAAATATGTAAGATTTACTGCATCTCTAAGATTACTTTTTTGTGTTTCTTTGATTTTTTGGGTCACGCCTGGCAATGCCAGGGATTACTCCTGACTCCACTCAAAAATTACTCCTGATGGTGCTTTGGGGACCATATGGGATGCTGAGGATTAAACCTGGGTCAGCTGCATGCAAAGCAATCACCGTATCTGCTATACTATGGCTCTGGCCCTTCTTAGATGGCTCTTAGATTTGTGGCTTGGTTGTTGAGAAAAATTAGTCTTATGAAGTGTGCAATTCATTTAACTGTATATTCACAGTGTTTCATTGCCATTGCTATCATATATTTCTACGACTTTATCTCCTCAGATATAAACCATAACCATCTAATAATGGACCCCTGAGTTTTTCCCACCTTTAGACTATTATAAATAATGCTGATAGGAACATTTCAGATCCTTCTTTCAAATTTCATGTGTATGTGCCTAAAAGTGAAATAGCTGGATCACGTCATTTTGTTGAAATTTTTAAGTGCTTCCAAACTTTTTCGTATAGCTATACTATTTACATTTTTACCGTTGGTATACAAGGCTTGAGATTTCTTCACTTAAGTGGTGGATTAGTATTGCAGGGACCATACAGTTTTGGGGATGGAAACCAGGGCTCTTTTATCTAATGTTCGGATTTTATTTTCCTGTGCTCATTTTCATCTTATTTAGATAATCAAACTCCTGTGCTCAGAACAAGGTAGTATAGCAAGTAGGGTGCTTGTCTTGCACCTGGCCAACCCAGGTTTGGTTCCCGGGCACCCCATATGGTTCCCTGAGCATAGATGGGTATGTTTCTCCCCTCCCCCTTGTCTCCCAAAAAATAATAAGGAATCTCCTTTGTCTTTTGGATGTTTCTGGTTTTCGAAAACACAGCAATGCTCAGGGGACATATTTGACTAAGTGCTTAAGAGCCACCTCGAGTGACGCTCAGGAGTCTTAAGTGCCCAGACCTACGTTCCAGACATGCACTCAGCCTTTTGAGCTTTTCTAAAACCCCCAAACCTTAAACCTTTCCATATGATAATGCAGTAATGTTCCATCTTCATACTTTTTTCTTTATAAATACGTATGTATGTGGTTTTTCCATCTCAATTTTGGCAGAACTCTTTTCCCAGTAATTGGTTTTTTAACCTTCTTCAAAATGAATTATTTGTTTGTGTTTTCTGGATTTTCAGTTAGTCCATATGTCTATAATGTAAACAGTACTAGCCACACAGTTTTTATAATAGAGTAGAAGTGTAATAGAAGTTTAGTACAAGTAGAGTAGAATTTTTAAAACTTGGAACTTTGATTTCTCTTTTGTTCTTTTCTGAACTCTACATTGTGACTTTCCTATATATTTACTAGAGCACTTGCTTTTTATGTAAAACACAATATGTAAGACTTTTAAATTGTTTTTAAATGTTTGTTTCATTCTAGTCAACAGGTGAGAAGAATGGAAAATTATGGTCTCCAGATGAAGAAGTTTCCCCTGAAGTACTAGCAAAGGTAAGTTTATATAGGTTCTAATAAGTTATTTTTAATTAATAAACATTGAGAGATACCTTTTAATAAACATTAATTTAACCCGTTATTAAGTCAAAAGTTATCTTCAAAGAAATGTAGTTTCTCGTTGTTACAAGTATGGGTTGACATTATCTGTGGACCTTACCGGGTTTAACTTAGAAAAAATAGATGCCAACACTTTGGTAATGTCTGGGAGATATAAACTATACCTTATTAAAGCTTATTTAATGTCTTGAAGTTTAAATAAGAGGTCATAATATCTTCCTTGATATTTTGCTCTTTGTAGCTTCGTAGTCATATATAACAATTTTGTTTTTCGGTTTGTTAACAAACATAGTAATACCTTTAGCTACTACTTTAATGTGTGTCAACAAACTTTTTAGTGTAAGCTAAAAGTATAACAAGTAATTACAGAGTTTCCTATCATTTTGGTTTTTTGTTTAAATAAAAGTTGTCATTTGAATTTTTTTTTTCAGTATAGTTTTTCAGGGATCAAAGAAACAGTCTAGGGGTTAAGAGTCTTGCTTGACATGCTGCTGACCCTGGTTCTTTACCTAGAACTCCATACCTGGTTCTTTATCTGGAATTCCATATATTCACTTAAGTAGCACCTATGCCTTACCAGGGTGATTCAGATCCTACTCCCTTCCCCCAAAAAGGTTTGTTTGTTTGTAAAAATTACAATTTGTTTGTAAAAAAAATACAATTACAAACAATCCAGAACCTATCCGAATAGATGCTTTTAATATAATCTAGGTAGCTTTAAAATGTGTTGTTTTAACTACAAATAAGTATTGAGGGTATTACAAAATTGGTTACAGGCCACTGCGATAAAACAAGGAAATAATTTTTTTCTTCCTAGTGCATATATGTTCTTTCCATTATGTTGTTGACTTGAAGTGTGTAGTAGCATAAATAGTGTGTCCCTTTTTAAAAAAAAAAAAACTTTGAAAGTTTATGGGTCAGAGAAATAGCTCTGTGGACTCGCTTTCAATCCCAACACTAAATGACCCACCCACCAACACTGCTCTATATGTGCCTTACCCCCACTCCCTCAAAAAAAAAAACTTTAAAAATTGTAAAAAGAAGTACTCCCATCTGAAACTGAGTCATAGCTTTATGCTGATAAAGGGGTTTGCATCACTCTATTTGGCTGTGACTTATGAATGTGGTGGCTGCTGAAGGCCATGGCTAGTATATGATTGTTGTAGTATTTTACCCATAGCAGAGCCTCTTTCGAATTTAAAGGTAGTTCTGTCTAGCCCTCTAATTTTACCTCTGAGGTAAAAGAATATATCCCCATATATGTTTTCAAATATTTTTTTTATTTTAATGTAGGAGTATTGCTATTTATTCGGCCATTGATTAGGCTGATTGAATTGGACACAAACTCCACCTTTTTTTTCTTTATTTATTGAATCACTATGAGAGCAGTTATAAAGCTTTTGGGTTTAAGTCTTGGTCGTGCAATGCAACACCTGTCCCGTGCCCATTTTCCACCACCAAAAGCCCCAGTATACCCACACCCTCCCCCTACCTGTGGGGCATATGATTTCCACATTACTCTCTCTCTACTTTGATTACATTCAATATTTCGACACCAGATCCACCATTATTATTTGGAATTTTACCCCAACACTCAGATCTGCCAAAAAGGCAACCATAGGCAGTTTTTTTTTTCTATTGCTGGTTATGAATAACATATGATGTTGCGCAGCCGCACTGGTGGCCGTGCAGTTTTGGAATTCGAAATTTTAACAATTAAGTCTGGAGGGATTGCCAAAACCTGCTGGGTTCCGAGATTTGTTCCTGAGTCTCTGGGATCATGGCCATTAAACAGCTTGATCAGGAGCCAGAGAGTTAGTTTGTGGGCTGGGGTCTCTTTGGGGCGGGGATGAAAGGGTCGGCTCCACCCCCATCCCATGAGGCCCCATGTGTCTTGTCACTGCGGGCCCAAACCTTATGTCCAATGGCTTCTGGAGGATGGCAGCCACTGAGCCGACAGGGGGAACAGGCCAAGGCACAAAACCTGTTCCCCCTGGGGTGGCCTGGCGCCGATAACCTACTGCAGAGACCAGGCACATTTCTGCCAAAAGCTGCTGGGTTCTGAGATTTGTTTCTGAGTCTCCGGGGTGATGGCTATTAAGCAGTTTGATCAGGAACCAGAGAAGCCTTGCCTTCCAATTATATAGCTGAGCTGGAGGTGGTTTGTGGGTGTGTCTCCCACATACCTAACTTTTGGCCTTTTACTTTCTTGGTAAACTTGGCCCCAGTTGTTGGGGTCTGGCCAAAGGGACAGCAGCAATTTTGGGGTATCTAGAAGTCTGAAGGCACCATCAGGCTGCTGATGCGCTCGCTTCAGAGATTGACCTGCTGGCAGCACCATACCCAAGTTTTCAAATAATTTTTGTGTGCAAAAGTTTCAAATGTGAAATGCCAGTTCAGGAACTGGAACTTGAGTAAGATATCTATCATGATTAAGTCTTCATTTTTTTAGAAATAATATTTTGAGGGCCAAAGTGATGGTACAGAGGCTAGGGCATTTGCTTTGAATGCAGCCAACCTGGGTTCCATCCCTAGCATTCCATATGGTCCCCTGAGCATTGCCAGGTGTAACCCAAAAAAAGAAAGGAGGAAGAAAAATACTTTGGGGGAAGCCAGATATACAGTGCAGCAGGTAATGTGCCTTACATGTAGCCTAGTCCCAGTCTATCCCCAGCAACAAGCAAGAATACTTTCCTGGGGCTGGAGTACAGCAAGTAAGGCACTTGCATATGGCTGACCCAGGTTTGATCCTGGCACCACAGAGTCATCCTGGACTGTAGGGCCAGAACAAGACTTGAGTACTGCCAGGTGTGGCCCAAAAAAGAACTTTCTTCATATAGTTATTTGCATGGCATCTACACACCACTCTACCACCATTGGCTCCTCAAAGAGTTTTAAATTATCATTAATACATATAGGACAGTAAATATTAATTAATGGTAATTACCCTAGAGATCAGTAAAACATGTCTATTGTCAGTTAACTATCCTTACCTAATTAATATAAATTAATCTTCCCTTTAATTAGAATTTTAAGTTGCTTTCTTCTTTTAGCATGTTAATATTTTATAGGTACAAGCAATTAAGCTTCTGGTAAGGTGGCTGTTGGGTATGAAAAACAACCAGTCTAAATCTGCCAATTCAACCCTTCGATTATTATCAGCAATGTTGGTGAGTGAAGGTGACCTGACAGAGCAAAAGAGGATCAGGTAAGTTTTCTTCCTTTCCATTGGTTTTAGCTCGGGTGGGAGAGAACTTCACAGATTGAGACCCATGCTTCGCTTTTATTTGATCTCCACATGGTCCCTCAAGCCTGGATTAGCTTCTGAGCACCACCAATAGGCAACAACAGCAGCATTCAAAAAATACAGCAGATTAAGAAAAAGTGGGCAAAAGACCGTTTTTAGCCCAAAATTCTTTAGAGCTTATATAAGAATTACTTAGCTGACTAATATACTCAGTGTTCTTTCGCTATGTGTTTGCCTCAGTACTTAGTAACTTAGTTTTGGTTTAGGCAAGGATGGTATATTTTTAGTAGTAATCATTAGAGTAATGTTACAATGTTTAGTTTTAACATTTCAGTATTTAATTCAATTAGGATAGTTTTGTTTTATCTGTGAAAGGGAGCAGACAGCAGGCAGAAAACTCGCCTCCGTAGTAAGCTCTAAGCACCAGCATGTGTGGACCACCCCACCCCACCTCTCAAAAATCGGCATCTTTCTCTTCCTTTTAACATGAAAATAAAATCCTGTGTTTTACATACCTTTGTTCTTGGCTTGGAGGGGGGGGATATTTTGTTGTTGTTTGGCTTTTTGGATTATACCCGGCAATGTTCAGGCGTTACTCCTGGCTCTGTGCTCTGGAATTACTCCTGGCGGTGCTTGGGGAACCATATGGGATGCTGAGGATCCAATCCGGGTTGGCCACATGCAAGGCAAATGCCCTACCCGCTGTACTATCTCTCTGACCTAAATCTTTGTTGTTTAATAGTTTTGGTTTACTAAGATAAATTCTGCTTATGATGCATTACTACTCTAAAATTTATTCTATAGGACAGATTTAATTATCTGTATTTTATTTATTGAGAACTTTTACAGTTCTATTTGTTGCGGGAGTGCTGGGGCCCAGTGGCAGTGTTCAGGGGGGCATCTTTCCTTTGAATTTCCTTTGGATTTTAATAATAAATACAAATGTTCTGGTGCAAATCCTAAATGCTGGTCCTTCTTAATCAGACATGGACATTGTTAAATTAGATTTCTGTTTCATATTTATATATGTACTATATAAAGGATTGTAGGGGTTCTGGATATAGTTCAGTGATAGAGTACATGCTGTGCATATTTTAGGCCATGAAGTTGTTCCCTGGTGCCATGGTTTTTTTTGTTTGCTTGTTTTGTTTTGTTTTGTTTTTTGGGTTTTAGTTCATTGGTGTTTTTTGTTGTTGTTGTTGTTATTGTTTTTACGATAAATATGTATTTCTCTTAAAATTGGGAAATTACCTGATTCTGACATAAGGTTGAGCATAACTGAATGTGAGGGATGAACTTAATAAAGGATAATCACAATCTTTAGAGCCTTTTCCCCTTTAATGACTTCATGGACCTTCCTGTATTTGCACAGAAGTCATAATAAATTCCTTGTCCTAAAAAGGTTCAGTCTTTTTCAGTGAATGATAATGGTCATAGGAAATGTTTATTTCTCTTTTTGTTCATAGTAAGTCTGATATGTCTCGCTTGCGATTAGCTGCTGGTAGTGCCATAATGAAGCTTGCTCAGGAACCTTGTTACCATGAGATCATAACCCCAGAACAGTTTCAGCTCTGTGCACTTGTTATCAACGTAAGTAACAGTTCATTCTTGGTGATTTTTTTTCACTTTCAAAGTTGAGTATATTTACATCTAATAGGTATAGATCCAGTACTCTGAGTTTGTGCACCAAAGCTTCTACTATCTAAATTCTCCAAGTCTTTATTACACATTCCCCCCAAGATAGCTAAAATAGCTTTAAATCAAAACATACTCCAAATACTTAAACTACTCTTCTTTAAATATTTGCCCTTTTCAGAGCCTGAGAGATACTACAGCAGCTAGGGCACTTGCCTTGCATGCGGCTGACCCAGGTTCCATCCCCAGCCTCCCATATGGTCCCCTCTAACACCGCCAGGAGCTAGCATTGAGCACCACTGAGTGTGACCAAAATCCTAAAAAAAAAACCCATTTTTAAAATTTCAACTAAGCCTGGTTTGAGTATTTTTGTTTTGTGCTACTATAGGATGAGTGCTACCAAGTAAGACAGATATTCGCTCAGAAGCTTCATAAGGCACTTGTGAAGTTACTTCTCCCATTGGAGTATATGGCGATCTTTGCCTTATGTGCCAAAGATCCTGTGAAAGAGAGAAGAGCACATGCAAGACAGTGCTTGCTGAAAAATATCAGTATACGCAGAGAGTACATTAAACAAAATCCCATGGCTACTGGTAAGTAAGCTTGAAAGTTCACAGTGTGGGGCTAAGGATATAGCTCAGCTGCAGAGCACTTGTGTTGCATGTATAGTGGCTTGGCCTCTAGCAGCACTGCATCTTAAGGCTTAGCTGAGAATCCTCATGAGGGACCTTGGGCCCCCTGAACACTGCTTGGAAATGCTCACCTCCCCCCATCCTCCCCACCTGAAATTCTGGTTTCTGACACTATAATGCACAAAACAGGATGATTGCTGTTATTTGGTTTTGTTGTTTTTTAAGATCCTTACATATCTAGGCATGCACTCTCTATGCAGGAACCACGTTTATCCCCTGCCGATCAGAAAGATGATTTGATTTGAACACATTGTTCAAATGTCATAAGCAAAGAATTATTTTCTATTTTGTTAGAACCTGCTCTTTGATCTTTAGGGGTGAGGGTTTGGTGTTGGGCCTCACCCAGGTCCGGGGTTAATGACAGCTCTGCTCAGGAACAACCCCTGGCAGTGCTCGGCAAACCGTATGCAGTACCAGTGTTAGCATAGAAGACAATGTATTAACTCCTTTTCTACCTTTTTGGCCTCACTGTGTAGTTTTAACTTACCCTTTTATGGAACCAGTAATGTGATATGGCCAAGTAGTAGAGCACATGCCTAGCGTGTACAAAACATAAATTCAATCCCATGTATCTTGTCCCCAGTGCCCCGGTACCACTGGCTGTGGCCCTATTAAGATATTATTCTCCTACCCACATGTCCAACCATTCGTATGGTCCCCCCAGCATCACCAGGTGTAATTCTTGAGTCCAGAGCCAGGAGTAAGCCCTGAGCATCTCCAGGTGTTACCCCCCAAATTATATATATATACACACACACATACACACACATTTGTTTTCAAGTGGGTGACCCAGTGTAGATCCCTGGCATCCCGTATTATCTTTCAGCCTGCCAAGAGTGGTTCCTGAGTGCTGGGCTTGACCGAGAAGCAAAAACCATAAAAGGATAACTTATGTCCAAAGACCCTTAAGAAATTGAGTCCATGCGCCAGAGAATTAGCACATACCTTGCATTCTATAAATCTTGGTTTGAATACCCAGCACTCTATATGGTCTACTGAGTATCTCTTAAGCACACAAGTAGGAATGAACCTAAGAACCCCCCCCCCCCCCTTTTGGCCCAAGCTGCCCAATCCCCAGAAAAACCTAGCCCTGTAAGACACTGGGTTCATTACTTGGCATTACAAATTAAATAAAACCTAAAAGAGCAAAACAGTAAAATAGAAATAGCAGAAATATTTCAATTTCCGGGGCTGGAGGGATAGTACGTACATTTGCCTTGCACACGGCTCATCCAGGTTCAATCCCCAGCATCCTCTATGGTCCCCCAAGCACTGCCAGGACTTATTCCTGAGCACAGGAGTAATCACTGAGCATCACTGGGTGTGACCCAAAAAGAAAAGATATTTCAGTTTCATTTATGTATCATGCTACATCTAAGAGTTAATGTAGGAAAAAGGGATTCTTAAATATAGAATTCAAACAGTTTTATAAAAAGCTATTATGACTGTTAATTATAATTTTTTTACTTTAGAGAAATTACTTTCACTATTGCCTGAATATGTAGTTCCATATATGATTCACCTACTAGCCCATGATCCAGATTTTACAAGATCACAAGATGTTGATCAACTTCGTGATATTAAAGAGTAAGTCATGTTAATTAAGAATCGTAAAATTATTTTTAAAAATTCTTTTTTTAAATGTTTTTTCTTTTTAATATTCTTTGTTTTTTCATTTATCGTAAGTAAAGATGAAATGTAACAAAATAATTCTTATTTCAGCACTACTTTTAATTGTTCTGTTTATTTGTTTGCTAGCGTTTCTGCATGTTTCTGAGTCTTTGGAACCGATTGGTTTTTTGTTTTTGTTTTTGCTTTTGGGGGGGGGGTCACACCCGGCAGTGCACAGGAGTTACTCCTGACTCTGCACTCAGGAATTACTCCTGGTGGTGCTTGAGGGACTGTAATGGAATGCTGGGGATCAAACCCAGGTTCACCTTGTGCAAGGCAAACGCCCTACCCGTTGTGTTACAGCTCTAGTTCCTTTTTTGGGGGGGTCACACCCAGCATTGCACAGTGGTCACCTCTGGCTCGTGGACTCAGGAATTAACTCCTGCCAGTGCTCAGGGGACCATATGAGATGCTGGGAATCAAACCCGGGGTCCACCACATGCAAGGCAAGCAAACACCCTACCCACTGTGCCATCACTCCAGCCCCTATTTTAAATTTTTATGTTGCTATTTTTGTTTATATTAAGGTAGACTTCAACAAAATCCATGGAGTGAAAATTTTCTTCCATAAAAGCTAAGTTCAGGGCAAGGGCATATGCTGTGCATGTGGGATGCTCAGAAGATTGCCAACACTGTGACTCCTCTAAGCACTGTCAGCTTTGTAGCCCAGAACCAAATGTTACCCGTTTTTTTTTTTATTATTATGGCTGAGTATTAAATGCCAGACCACCTCTGTGATTATTGAATGTCTGTAGAAATAGTTATGAAATTATCAAACATTTTCGTATTAGCTATCTTCAATATTGGAGCTTTTTCAGTCTGTATTTATTTGAGTTGCATGTTATTAACAGAATAGTCCTTTTTTCCCCCTGTATTTCACTTTTAATACTATCAGACAGCACAGTTTTCCAGGAAGATATTATTCCATTATTCCATTGACTTGAAGTACCTTTAACCAAAAAAAAAAACCAAACAGTACTTTTTCCCATTGCCACTTAGGTTCTTTTATTAATAAATACACGTACCACTTAGGTGCCTATGGTTCATGCTTGAAGTTTTAATGACGAAGAATGAAAACAATAGCCATGCCTTTATGAAGAAGATGGCAGAGAATATCAAATTAACAAAAGATGCCCAATCTCCTGATGAATCCAAGACAAATGAAGTAAGATATTTAGGCCAGTGGGTATTCATATATTCCCAGAGCGGGGGGATGGGGGAGTGTTTAGCTTTTGTCCCAGTGTTTTTTTTTCTCATTTAATTATATTTAGAAATAATGGAGTTTCTCTTCCTAACCCTTGTTTTCTCTTAAACATGTATCTGATTCTGCTCTCCCCTCATACCTCTCTAAATTTCTTTCAACAAAAGCTATTTTGCTTCACTGGGGGGGGGGGGGGGGGATAAAAGAAATATTGATAAAACACTTATAGGTAGTAGTTCTTATACATTCCATTTCCATGGAATTCTGTTTGAGCCATGTTTAATATTCGGAAAAGGCATTTAAAGTTTTACAAAGCAGAGGGTAAGAATGATAAAAAAAAATTACAATTGTTGGTTTTGTTTTGAATTTTGGGGCCACACCTGTCAGTGCTCAGTGCTTCCTCCTGGCTTTGCTCAGGGATCACAACTGACAGACTCAGGATCTCATGGGGTATGGGGATCAAATTGAGGTCAACAACATGCAAGGCAAGGTCCAAACCCACTACTGTCTCTTCAGCCCATTTGTTTTTAATGCATATTTGGTATTTATGTAATTTAAGGAAAATACTTTTTTCCCTGGAGACTACATTAAAGACAGATGTGCAGTGTTCAAGGAACAAATACTAACTATTTATCCATTTTTGTTGTTTTGTTGACTCTTTGGATCATACCCAGCGATGCACAGGGGTTACTCCTGGCTTTGCACTCAGGAATTACTGCTGGCAGTGCTTGGGGCATCATACGGATGCTGGGAATCGAACCCGTGCTGGCAAATGCCCTACCCACTATACTATCATTCCAACCCCTAGCCTTTATTTCTTTTGTTTGTTTGTTTTTTTCAATCCTTTATTTTTTTTTTTAGCTGACCACAATATTTGCTAATGGTTTATCAAAAGAAACAGTTTTAGTCCAGATATGTTGTAGCACTACACTGTAGCAGTGTCCTCCCTAATAGATTTGCTCAGCTGGCACCAGTAACTTCTCCATTGTGAGACTTGTTACTGTTTCTGGCATATGGAGTATGCCACAGGGAGCTTGCCAGACTCTGCCATGTAGGCAGGATACTCTTGGTAGCTTGCCGGGCTCTCTGAGGGGGGCAGAGGAATCAAACCCCAGTTGGCCATGTGCAAGGCAAACACCCTATCCACTGTGCTCTCGCTCCAGCCCCAGATACATCGTATTAATGGTAGTTAGAGTCAGTACCTTAAATAACTCCCTTTGCCAGTGGAAAAGTTGAGAAATTTTTGCACACGTTGGACCAGGATTTGATCCCTGGCATTCTACATGGTCCCCCAAGTATCTTCAGAAGTGATCCCTGAGTGCAGAGCCAGGAGTAATCCCTGAACACTGCTAGGTGTGGCCCCCAAAACAGTAGCTTCTCGCATTGCCTCAAAAATTTTTCTGTATATGCCTTCCTTTCTGGTTCAACAACAGAAACTTAGGGGAAACAATAACTCCCAGGGATCCAGTGACTGTACCAACAATATGAAATCTCAGGCAATAACTAGAAAAACGTGCATCTAAGCTTTCATCAAAGCTTTAGAAGCCATAGTAGTTCTCAACACGAGTATCCAACAGACTAAAGAAAGAATGCCTTATATCCATGTTTTAGTTTAGTTAATGCATTGGGTAGAAATACTTACTTGTGATTGTTTTACAGTACTGAAAGTTGCATGTGATTTTCCCCTCCCTAGAAACTTTATACAGTATGTGATGTGGCTCTGTGTGTTATAAACAGCAAAAGTGCTTTGTGCAATGCAGATTCACCAAAGGATCCAGTCCTTCCAATGAAATTTTTCACACAACCTGAAAAGGTAATTTACTTCCTATCCCTTTTTTTTTCCACACTAGTTTATATTTCAGTTTGCATTCAAAGCTCTGCTTTTAGGTGGTTTGTTGTTGTTGTTGTTGTTGTTGTTGTTGTTGTTTTCCCCGCTCTGGAGTGAAAGCTGATTTCTCTGGTTTGGTTTGGTTTGGTTTGGTTTGGTTTGGTTTGGTTTGGGCACCATGCTTGGCAATGTTCAGGGGTTACTCCTGGATGTGCTCAAGGGACCCTGTGAGATGCCAGGAATTGAATTCAATCAGCTGCATACAAAGCAAGCTCCCTATCTATTGTGCTATCTCTCCAGCCCCATTGTGTTCTCTCCAGATCATGTATTTCTCTCTTTCTTTAAATAAGAGCTGTTTTGCTCCTCCCCCCCTCAAAAAAATAAATAAAGCTCTCCTTTGATGTAGTTTATTACAAAATTTGAAGGGTCCAGAGTAATAATACAGCGGGGACAGCCTTGCACACAGTCCGGGTTTGTTCCCTGGCATCCCATATGGTCCCCAAGCACTGTCAGGAGCAGTTCCTGAAGGCACAGCCAGGGGTGACCCCTGAGCACCTCCAGGTGTGACCCAAAAAGAAAAAAATAATAAATTCGAATTGAAGGGGCATAGAAATAACTCTGTGCTAAGTCCGTGCTTTGCATACAGGCCTTAGTTCAATCCCTAGCACTATATGCTATCCTAAGTACCCCAGGTGTGAGCCAAAGACCAAAATATAATTACAGCTGGTAGAGCGCTCAACCTTGCACAGTGACAGCCAGGGTTTGATCCTGGCCCTCTGTATGGTCCTCTAAGAACTGCTGGGTATAACCAGAAAACTAAGTAATTATCAGTTATTTTAGGAATTGCTGTATAGGTTTACACAAATATGATTTATTCTAAGGCACAGTACTAGAAAAGTCTTGTTCAAAAAATAATACATGTTCTCTTAATTGTTCTTTTAATAGGACTTCTGTAATGATAAGAGCTATATCTCAGAAGAAACAAGAGTACTTCTACTAACAGGAAAGGTATTGTGTACTTTCTGGAATAATCTTGAGATTGTCTTTGTGTTTATTACAATTGTTCTTTGAAATAATCTTATATTTTATAGTTCTCAAGTTTGAAGGATCATATTGTGATCTAGAAATTTCTAGACTATTTTTTTAGTTTATTTTTAGGAGATTTTAGTATTGACATCTTACACTGTGTTTTAAGGGTGCTTATTTTTAATTAACCAGTAAAGAATAAATATTGTGTTGTGAATTACTGGAAGTAATACTGTTTATCACTATAACCAAATGATTTTTTCATTATTATTTCTAGTAAAATGTTTTACTTTGCAAAGTGATAATTGCTTGACTTGGGCTAAATTAGTGTCACATTTATCTAAATTTGTTACAATAATTGAGTTTTAATTCTTTACTGTAACGTATGAAATAAGTAGGTATATGTAATTTTAGCCAAAACCTGCTGGAGTCCTCGGTGCAGTAAACAAGCCTTTATCAGCAACGGGAAGGAAGCCATATGTCAGAAGCACTGGACCTGAGACTGGAAGCAATGTCAGTGTGAATTCAGAATTGAACCCGTCAACTGGAAATCGAACAAGGCAATGTTTTTCTCCGGTCTTATTCTTTCACTCTTGTTTTTCATTTTTGGTCCACACCAGGCAGTGCTCAGTGATTATTCCTGGTGGGGCTCGGGAGACCATATGGGGTGCGCCCTGGCTATACTACATCCCCAGCCTTCATCTTGTTTATTGTTGTACTGAGACCTCAGTAGGTGGTTCTTAGAGGACCATATAGTGCTAGATATGAAACTTGGGCCCCTAACAAGCAAAACATGTGCTCCAGCACTTTCAGCAACCTTTGCTGCATTCTCTCTCTCTCTCTCTCTCTCTCTCTCTCTCTCTCTCGCTCTCTCCAGAGAGAGAGAGAGACACGGGGGGGGGGCAGAGAGCAAGAAAGCGAGCGATAGCACAGCACTGGGGCGTTTGCCTTGCACGCAGCCAGCCCAGCCCAGCCGGTTTTGATTCCTTCTCCCCTCTCGGGGAGCCCGGCAAGCTACTGAGAGTATCTCGCCTGCACGGCAGAGCCTGGCAAGCTACCCGTGATGTGTTCAATATGCCAAACACAGTAACAACAAGTCTCAAAATGGAGACGTTACTGGGCCCACTCGAGCAAATCGATGAACAACGGGAGGACAATGTGACAGTGTAATATATATATATATATATATATGCTGGAGCAATAGCACAGTGAGTAGGGTGTTTGCCTTGCATGTGGCTGACCTGGGTTTGATTCATCCATCCCTCTCGGAGAGCCCAGCAAATTACTGAGAATATCCCGCCCGCTTGGCAGAGCCTGGCAAGCTCCCCATGCCATATTCGATATCCCAAAAACAGTAACAACAAGTCTCACAATGGAGACGTTAGTGGTGCCCACTCAAGCAATCAATGAGCAACAGGAGGACAGTGCTGCAGTGCTATATACACACGCACACACAATTTTTGCTTTTTTGGGTCACACCCAGTGATGCTCAGGAGTTACTCCTGGTTCTGTACTCAGGAATTACCCCTGGCGGTGCTCGGGGACCATATGGGATGCTGGGAATCGAACCCGGGTTGGCCGCATGCAAGGCCCTACCCACTGTGCTATCACTCCAGTCCCCCCCACACACAATTTTATGATTATTTTTATAGGTATCACATCTAGTAGTGCTGGAGTCCTGGTGATATTCAGCCCAGCAAGTCTGATCAAGTGCATTTCACGTGTAAAAATATTCTGCATTTAATATTTAGATGTTTTATTCTTTTTTCATCAGCTTTTTAGGAAAAATCCCTGCTAATTGTATTTCAAGTAAAATGCCAGTGGTGGTGGGGCCAGAGCCATAATTCAGTGAATAGTGCACTTTACTTGCATGTGGCCAACCTATGTTCAATTCTTGGCACCTATATGGACCACTGAACCCGCCAGGAGAAAGCCTTGTTTTGGAGGGTTTTTTGTTTGTTTGGTATGGTTTTTGTTTTTTTACATGGGACCCCAAATTACAAAATAAGCACACATAGAATGTCTGTGGTTTGAAAAGATGGTTGGCCTCAGACAGCTGTGTCCTTCACGCGCAATCCCCTCATTGTATGGATTAAGGGCAATGGAGAGGAATCTGGGGGTATGCTATAAGAGAGGACAGAAAGACAGTACAGCCATTCAAGAATGCTGCCTTGGATGGTGCTGGCCCAGATTGAATTCTAGACTTAGCCCTCATTTAGCACAGCCGGGTATGCACAAAAGTAAAGATGGGTAGTGGGCTGGGGCACCTGTATGTTGTCCGCATATACTGTCAGGAGTAACTTCCAAACACCACTCTGGGGATGGTCCTTATCAACGACCCTGCAAAATAAGCCAAGGAAAATTACACAGACTGAAACAATTATTATATATATATATGGTAAAAGGCCCTCCCGTTGATCATCGATTTGCTCGAGCGGGCCCAGTAACGTCTCCATTGGAGACTTTGTTGTTACTGTGTTTGGCATATCGAATACGTCACGGGGAGCTTGCCAGGCTATATATATATATATATATATATATATATATATATACACACACACACTATATATTCTATATACTATATTCTAGCTGATGAAATAAGCTTAGGGAAAGTGCCTCCTATCGAGGGAGGCTGGGGTTGGTGGGGTGGTGGGGATGATGAGGGAAGCAGGAGACATTGATGGAAGGAAATGTACCCAGGCGGAGGGATGGGTGTGGATCATTGTATGACTGATGCCTAATTATAAACAGCTTTGTCATGGTCTGTTTTATGGATTTTTTTTTTTTTATGTGGAGGGCTGGAGCTATAGTACAGGGCATTTGCCTTGCACCTGGCCAACCTGGGTTCGATCCTCAGCATCTCATATGGTCCCCCGAGCACCACCAGGAGTAATTCCTGAGTACAGAGGCAGGAGTAATCCCTGTGCATCGCCGGGTATTACCCCAAAAAAGAAAAAAAAGGAATGTGGAGTTTATGCCCATTTCAATTAGCTTAATCAATGCCTGAATAAATAGTAGTATGTCTACATTTAAAAATGATTTAATGAGGCTGGAGCGATGGCATAGCAGGTAGGGCGTTTTCTTTGCACACGGCCAACCCAGGTTTGATTCTCAGCATCCCATATAGTCCCCCGAGCACCGCCAGGAGTAATGCCTGAGTGCATGAACCAGGAGTAACCCCTGTGCATCGCCGGGTGTGACCCAAAACACCCCCAAAAAAGAATTAATTATGGGGATAAGAGAAATAAGAATCTTTAGAATAATTTTGTTTCTTGACAATATTTCTAATTAAGTAGCTTTCTATCTGTCTTAGTATGGTTATGTGAAAATCAGTAATGTCATACTAGAACAGTAGTTCAGTGTTACTGAAAAACTAAATTTTGCAGTACTTTGTTGAATTCGGTTTGTTTCTGTGCTGGCCTGATACATTGCTAGAGTAAAATTTGTATTGTGTTGAAAGTAAATGATTTATTTTTCTTCAACAGGGAGCAGAGTTCAGAAACAGCTGAAACTGGAGTTAGTGAAAATGAAGAAAACCCTGTTAGAATTATTTCTGTCACACCTGTGAAAAATACTGACCCAGTAAAAAATAAGGTAAATTTAAAATTTAAGAAGTGGCAGTTTGTCCATCAAGTTTCATCGTGGGGTAAGAAACTGAGTCAGCAGATTAGTGTAAACTGTTTTATTATACAGTAGTTCTGGACTGCTGGATGTGACCCAAAAGGTGGTATTTGGGGGAAGAAAAGGATGAATAAAGTTGAGGGCTAGAGCAAGAGTACAGCAGGTAGGTCACTTGCCTTACACATGGACCGTCCGTGTTCAATCCCCACCACTCCATATAGTCCCCCAGGTACCTAGGAGTGATCCCTAAGCACAACTGGGTGTAGCTCAAAAACAAACTCCACAAAGGGCCCTTTTTTTTTTTTTCAGGCTAGGGAGATATTGCAGAGCTTAAGTTTCTTGCTGCCTTGCATGCATGCAGCCAACCTGGATTCCATCCCTGGCTCTCCATAGGAGCCTTGAGCACCACCACCTGTGTCCCCAAAAACATAAAATAAGCATATTTACTAAGTTACACTGTGTTCTGGGCTCTGTGGTAGGCCTCTCCAGTATTGCCTTGGCCCTCAGAGGATTGAAATAAACAGTTAAAAAGTTCTGGGATCAGAGGATTATTACACAGTTTAGAAGCCAGCCTCACTTGCTGATAGAGAAGGAACCACCAAGTAAAGGATGCTAGGAGGGCCCTCTTGGGATAGGAGATGCGGGCTGAAAGCAGACTATCGACCGAATAATTCCTCCATTGCAAACCACAACACCCAAAAGGAAATGCCCTGGCACAGAGGTGGGGTGGGATGGAGGGGATGGGGCGGTGGTAGTGGGAGGGATGCTGGGACCATTGATGGTGGAAAATGGGCACTGGTCACTGGTGGAGAGATGAGTACTCGACCATTGTATGACTGAAACAAATCATGAAAGTTTGTAAGATTGTAACTGTACCTCACAGTGATTCACTAATAAAATACAGTTCTGGGATCCCAGATGCTCTAAATTCTATTTTTAGGCCACAGAGACGGCACATGTAGGTTGTCTAGGTATTGAACCCCAGCACCAGACTGACCCCAGAGCACTTCCAGGTCTTGCCTTAAATCTTTCTTTAGGATCGTTAACCTTTATAGAATTTATGTTTAGGGCCTGAGCAATAATACAGCGGATAGGGCGTTTCTCTTGCATGCAGCCAACCCCAGTTCGATCCCCGGCATCCCATATCTTCCTCCGAGCCTTCTAGACTAAATGATCTGCGCTAAGTGCAGAGCCAGGTATCAGGTGTGGCCCAACAAAACATTTTTGTTTATGACTTTATTTTATGCTTTTTTAGGAAATTAATTCGGATCAGTCTTCCCAGGGCAACATCAGCAGTGACCGTGGAAAGAAAAGAACAGTAACAGCGGCTGGTGCAGAGAATATCCAACAAAAAACAGATGACAAAGCTGATGAATCAGGACCACCTACGCCTTCAAAACCCAGGAGAGGACGTCGACCGAAGTCTGAATCTCAGGGCAATGCAACCAAAAATGATGATACAAATAAACCTCTTAGCAAGGGAAGAAAGAGAGGAGCAGTCAGTCAGGAAAGCCCAGGCGGATTGGAAGCAGGTAATGCCAAAGCACCCAAACTGCAAGATGCCACCAAAAAGGCAGCACCAGCGGAGCGACAGATAGACCTCCAAAGGTAATGATGGCCTTTTGAACTTGAGTTATGCTAATCACTTCCCAGATAGCTAAAGCATTCCAAACTGAGAAGCATCCCTAGCTTCCTTAAGAAGGTTAATTCTGGGGCTGGAGTGATAACATAGCGGATGGGGCGTTTGTCTTGCTCTCGGCCAACCCAGGTTCGATTCCCAGCATCCCATATGGTCCCCTGAGCACCGCCAGGAGTAACCCCTGTGCATCGCCAGGTGTGACCCAAAAAGCAAAAAAAAAAAAAAAAAAAAAGCAAAAGCAGTAGGGGTCGGTAGATAGTACAGCACTAAGGGTGCATGACCCAAAAAGGAAAAAAAAAGGTTAATTCTTGGGCCTAGAGGAACAGTACAGCAGTAGGGCTTTTTTCATGCATCCTTTCATGCATCCTAAAAATGAAGATTAATTCCTGTTGTTCAAACAAAATGTTGCTGGAGCAGTAGTACAGTGGTTGGACAATGACTAGCACATGTACAACCCATGTTCAATCCACAGGACCCCATTTGGTCCCCTTACGCCTGTCAGGAGTGAGTAAAGCTCTGAGCACTATTTAATATGGCCAACATAAAATGTTGCAGAATGCCTGATAAGTTGGTAGTGTGTTATACAGAATGTAATATCCTGTGCTCGTTTCATAGTCTCACTGATGTTTGAAGGTTAAATTAGATACTCAGTAGAATAGATCACACATTCTGCATACATTTCATACAAAAGCCAAACAATAATTTTAAATAATTAAGCAGCTCTGTTAAGTGCTATCATTTCCCTCCAATTCTGAAGAGGGAAAAAAAAGGCATAGAGAGTTTCAGTAGTCTTTATTTCATACAGCTAATTTTTAGAACTATTAATAAAAAAATTGCTTTATTCAGGGGACTGAGAAATAACTCAAAAGTCTGGAGGGCAGACTGCGAGCAGAAGGGATCTAGACCACTGCCAGGAACAACCCTCCCACCCCCACCCCCTAGCTGTTACTTCCTGTGGCCCCAAAGACCAACAACAAAAAAAAATAACTTGGGACTTTGGGAGAAATTAGACTTCAGAAAATTAGCTTGTAGGGGCTGGAGCAATAGCACAGCGGGTAGGGCGTTTGCCTTGCATGCAGCCAACCCGGGTTCAATTCCCAGCATCCCATATGGTCCCCTGAGCACTGCCAGGGGTGATTTCTGAGTGCAGAGCCAGGAGTAACCTCTGTGCATCGTTGGGTGTGACCCAGAAAGCAAAAAAAAGAAAATTAGCTTGTAAAATAATTTTCCCTTGTTTGAATTAATTTGTCTTTCTCGGCAAGTTTAATGAAGTGAAAGAATATTAAAGTTATAGACTTTTTTTGTTTTTTCTTCATGTGAGGAATTTCTGATACCTTGTGTGTTCTGAAGTTTCACTTAGATTTATATTCAAGTAACTCCTAGGTGTGTATGCTTTTGTGTTCAACAATTACTTATTAGTTTGATGTGAATTTCAATGACAAGTAAATTGCTGTTAAAATAATATGAAATTTTTCAGAAGCCAAGTGCTCGGAAGTGATGGCGATTCACTTTGGGACATAGAATCAAGTCCCGGAAATTCTTCCAGTGATTTGGACCTTTTAAGTCTGTGAGAGCAGCCAGGAAGATACTGACGACTCAGAGCTAGTAAAGGGAAGCTTCAAAGGTGCCACAGGCAGATGTGGAGGAGTCTTTGATAACATTTTAATTAAGCCTGTCTTGTATAATTAAACAGATTAATAGTTTCTGTAAGAATCTTAATTACTTAGCTTCTTTTTAAAACTTTGTTATCTTTATAAAATGTGTAATGTGGTATTCAATTTTAAGAATAAAGCCCCCTTTTTTTTCCCTATGATTAAAATGATTGATGAGACAGTTTTAACACTGATGAGGCTAAATACAAATGTCGAAAACAAGGGCCAGAGTAATAGTATAGCAGGTAAAGTGTTTACCTTCATACAGCTAACCTGCATTCAATTCCCAGCTGGGTTCAGTTCCCAGCATCCCAAAAAGTCCCCGGAGCACAGAACCAGAAATAAGCTCAGAACACTGCTTGGTGTGGCCCCAACCACAATACCACCACCACCACCCCCCAAATGTATAACAAAACACAATGACAGGACACAGGACAGATAGGTAGCTCAATGGACTGAACACACACTTTGCATACAGGAGTCCAGTTTTATCCCAAACATCACATGCTTCAAGCTCTAAGCACCACCCCATGTGACCCAAAACCAAAAAAATTCAGAATGACATGCCAGGTGACATTAATTAATTGCCATTAAATTAATTGCATATAGACCAGAATGTACCAGAAGCAAAAGAGAACACATAGACAAGGTCAGACGCCAGTCTGCTCCATTCCTCCCCACCTAGCCTCTTTTTTCCCCACTATGAGTTCTTCTACCTCCCAGAGAGATGTGAGGTGTTTATAAAGTGTTACAAATTATGCTTGTTTCAGATTAATAGCTTATATTGTTTTACACAAATGGGCACTGGAGAACAGCACTTACTGAAAATAAAACTTCTTTGATACCTTATTTTACAATGGTGTAAAGAACGATTTCTTACACCAAAATCTTAGGTAAAAATGTGGAGGGGGAATCCAAGTGCTAGATAGTGACTGTGGAAATGCGATGACCTTGCCTGGTTTGCTTTCCTGTTTACATTTTTCTAACTTTGCTTTCCTTTTCTTCTATCCCCAAGGTAAAAAGAAAACTCGTTCTAAAGGGAGGAAATGAAGGCCAAACAGAAGCAGTCTCAAGCTTCTACAGAAATTTGGATTCACAATGTCCCTGAACTGAAAATGAAGTGAACTTCGGAACACACACTTTCTGCCTTGAAAGCTGAAGGAAATGCTTACTTCTTTTCCATGACCACAGTACTTGGATGGGAGTGTACAGCAGAAACTCTTAAGAGAGGCTAAAAGCAACTCTTTTCTACCCTACCCCCCTCCCCAGACTTTTCTTCTGAAAAGTCAATAATTAAGCAAATTGCTTAACACTTGGTTCCAGTTACCACATATCTGGAGTTGAAAGGCATAATCCACAATTGATTCCATGCTGCAGTTTTTATTTTTGAAGAAAGTATAATAGGATGTCCTTACACTGACACTGAGTTTTTATCCGTTCTAGAGCCAGGAGTTCCCATGTTACACAGGAAAAAAAGGAGAGAAAAAAAGATGTCTACTGAATTAAATTTTTAGAGAGATCAGATTAAGTATTTCTTTGTTTTTCCTTTTGGAAACTTTTATGTATAATTCTGCCTGCCTACTTTTCTGCAAAAATGAGATGTACAGATTTCAGTTCCCTGCTATGAAAAGTGATGTGGCGATTTTACAAATGTTGCTTTCTGATTTTTATCAGAGTGAGAAAATAATGAAATTAATATTGATTTCGTATCACTTCATATTTTGATTTTCCCTCCATTTTAGTTTAATATAATTTGCAATAAATGTACATATGATTGTTTGTTTCATAAAGCATATCACTTTGAAATGGTTTTTACTCTGTGATCATGTTGGAATACTTGGAATTTTAAAGGAGTAGAGACTGTCCAGCATTTGGTTTTATAATGTTTTGTCAACCAGATTTTTATTGATGTACAAAACAATCCTTTTTTTTTTTTTTTTTTTTTTTTTTTTAGTTAGAGTTTGGCAGCTTTGTAAGGAGAGTCGGAGGTATTCAGGACCGCTATCAATCCTCAGCATTGTGCTATTGGGAAATAAGTGTTTTGCTTTTGTTTGCCAGTCTGGGCTCAGTTTTTGTTTATTTTAGAAGTGAACTGTTGCATCAATATATTACTTCTTGGCATTGTTCAGCATAGGTAATGTGTACACTTTGTGTGTGCACATAATCATATTTAAGTTTTTACATAAAATAAATGCTTCTAGATGTCATATGGTAGTCTTTTAATCTTTTTATCATACTATGTTTTGTTGTGGATTTTTTTTACGTGAAAGGGCTATTAAAGAACATGATTACAGTCAACTCTCGTTATCTATAGTAGTGGCTATCCTTGCCACAGATTTCAAAATTTTTCAGTAACCATTATCTTAAAATGATTAAGACAGAACCCAGGAGAGAGAGCTTAAAAGGCTAGCACATTGAATAGGCCCAGCTGTAACCCCCAAACAAGGAAATGAAAGGCCTATTTTAAGAATTGCTCCAGGAAGGTTGAAAATTGTCTTTTTTTCACAGTTACAGACTACTCCCATCCCTGGTTTAGGCTCTCCCAATGCCCTAGTTGAATGTGCTTATTCAATTTGCTATGAAAAAGTGTGGGTTGGTAGACAAAAACATTATAACTGCACTATAACTTGATCTTAACAGGCTAGGATCTGCATGAGAAATAAAACCAAGCTCTGTTCCAAGTAGATAATTGAATCTGACGTTGCTGGTGAGAGTCACTTATCTTGTCCTAGATAATGAAGAGTTGACTATATTGATTCTGAATGAAAGCTGGGTATTCTTTTAAATATGAACACACATTTAGGTTTCATGATGGTTAGGGAACATGGATCCCAATGGGAGGAAACTATTTTTTAAAGGGGCAGAAAAAACCCTGCCATTCTGTGTTGCCTCTTTCTACCCCTTTTGAAGGAAAGTATAAGAAACTGACTGCCTCCACCGTGCTGAAAAAGGAGTATCTATGCATGAGCATCTGGAGTCCCTCACACAATCAGTGGGTGTGTTTCATTTAGGAAGATTTTAATGTCCTCATCGCCTCAGACAACTTGATTCTTGAGGCCACCAAGTAGGAACATCAGTAGGAACTGTCTTTCTGAATTCCTTTTGACTAAATACTTAGCCTCACGGTTCACTGGATTCCCAGGTTATATCCTACTTAATAGTTGTAGCAGAATCATTTGCATCAGTTAGTGGCTGCTTAGGTCTTTTGAGGAGAAGAGTTAGCTGAACAAGGCCCACCACAGTTTGGTGGCCCTGGATGCCAGTGTGTGGCACTAGGGCAGGCAGAGAGGATAGGTTAAGCTGATGTGGAGGGACTTCTTTAAAAGGAATTTTTCAGTTTTCCTTTGAAAAAGGAAAACCGGAAAATCCCTTCGGAATTTGGTATTCACATCTCAGAGAAATACAACACAAAGTGCAGACTTATATTTGAGAATTAATGTTAACCCTTTGTGTCTAGTTTAAAGCTTCTTGTATTTGTCTAAAACTACAAGCCAGAATTTTGTATCTCCTTTGATAAAAAGTGTGTATAATGTAAAGTAGTTTTGCATATTCTTGTGCTGCACATGGGCTGAATTTTTAAAAAAAATTTTTTAAAGACTTGAAGCAGAACCTTGTAATTTGTGTAAATGACAAGTGTAAAATCCTACCATAAAATGCTAAAACTTGCATTGTTTGAAATAAAACCAAGAAATGCAGCATTATATAGTAGTGTGGACCCCTGAATATTCATGTACCCCTGGTATGTTGCAGGCTGATATCTTTGCACATTTTCTGTTTTTATTCTGGAGTCTTTATATCTTCCCTCAGACGTCAAATGCTAATCATAGTTAAGCCACCTTCATACTCTGTAGCTGCACATGACAGAGGAGGAGCAAATATAAAATGAATTTTGAGCCAAATATATATTTGCCTTTAAGCTATACCCAGTGATGCTCAGGGTTTCCTTCTGGCTCTGGACTCAGGGATTACTCCTGACGGTACTCAGAGAGTTATAAGTGGTTCTGGGGATTGAGCCCACGTCAGCTGCGTGCACAGCTCTGCTCCTCAAGCACATTATTTTAACTGGGGATCTTAAAGTTAACTTCCATGCTTAACTACCCTTGGATACATTGGAGGGGGAGGGGGGCGCGTTTATTTTGTGGGACTGTTTTGCCTGCTTTAGTGTTTTTGGTGGCTCGGGATTTAACTCAAGGCAGGCACTTTGCTATATCCCAGCAGAATACATTGATTTTCAGCAAAATTTGAACATGCACCTTGCTCTGACCCCTAAAATGCACAGTTGATTTTGAAATACTTTGGAGACATGGTACAGGGCTTAAAGCACTGGCTAGCCTTTAGATACTGACCCTCTGGATACTGTCAGGAGTGGCACTCTGCCTGTGCAGTGCCAGGTTTGACCCACAGATAAACGAGCAATCGGATGACAACTGTATGAAGAATAAGGTGGACACAGTTACTGAACAAGCTATAGTGCTTTTATAAAACCTTAGTGGTTTGACCACTCTTCACCAATTTAGATTATTGAGACTAGTGTGTCAGACCAGAGAGACAGTACATTCTACAGTGCTTGCCATGCATGCAGCCAGCCCAAGGTCAGTCCGCACCATCCCATATGGTCCCCTGAACCCCACGAGGAGTAACTCTGAGTACCGCTGTGTGTGGCCTCCCAAAAAAGAATGTGTCTTTGCTATTCGTGTAAACCAAATAGAAGCTAGTGGAGACCAGCAAATGGTCAGACAACTTGGTAGCCTGACTAGATAGTGTTGCCTACAAGAAGTTAAAAATCTACAGAGCCAGGAAATTGACCCAGAGCTGGACTTTTCCTTTTGGTGTGGAGAGCTGGGGGTGAGACACTCAAATCTGGCAGCATTCAAAAGTTACCCCTTGACAGTGCTCAGAGCCAGTCGTCGTCAGTGCAGTGCATGCAATACAAGCACCTTAAATCCTGTGTGATCTTTTGGGGGCAGGGGTGCGGAGGGGATGGGAACCATTCCCAGCAAAGCTTAGAAAATAAATACTCCTGGCTCTGAGTCTAGAAATCACCCTCGTGGTGCTCAGGGGATCCTGTGGAATATCAGGGATCAAACCCGGGTCAGCCACATGCAAAGCAAACCCACTGTTCTGGCCCCCTATGTTATCTCTTGCCCAGGTCTGGAACCTGGGTCAGACTAGTTATCAAATTTGGGGTCTTAAGATCTATCACTGAAGCATCTCCCACCCACTTCTCATTTTCTAGTCATTCTATAGAGCCAGAGAGTGTTGTAGAGATAATACAGGGTGTGCAAGACATGTGCCCGGGTTAAAACTCCACCACCCCATACGATCCCCTGAGCTCCAGGGAAGACAGCAGTTGGAGGAAAACATTTATGACTTGAGTTTTACTCAGCCATACCAGAGATTGGGGCACGATGAAGAGATGGTTTGTCAGTTGAGATGATTTCATATAGTTGAAAGTGTATCATTTGGCAGATAACCTCTGTCTTGTACTTGGCAGATAACTCTTTGCAGGGGGTAGGGGAACACCCAACTATGCTCATGGCTTACTCCTGGTTCTGTGCTCAGGGATCCCTTCTGATGGGACCCATATGAGGTGCCAGGAAACAAGCTATGAACAAGGCAAATACCTGCTGTATCTTCTGTACTGGAGACAATACTTACCTGAACTGTCTCCAGTCCCAGATACTGAACTTTTTGTTTTGGGCCACACCCAGGGATGTTCAGAGGCTGTAAGTAAAATAACTCAAGCGTGTTAGTTGAGTATTCAGTGATCGCTTCCCTTTTGGGACTGGGTCTTGTAACTGGCATAGTGCAGACACGCTCATAGTCTTAACAGTACAACAGCAATGCTTTGAGTCTCCTGTTAGAGCAGAAATAAAAGTCATTAAAATGTGTTGGTTTGGGTTTTGGGGTCACAGACGCTCAAGAGCTACTCCTGTCTGCACATGGAGGGGACATGTCTCAGCACTACTGGGGACCGAACCTAGGCCTCCCATATGCGAAGCGTGCAACCAATCCCTTGAACTGTCTCCCCAGCCTTACTCTTCTAGTTTTTGTTTTCATTTCTTTTTTTACCATTTTTATTGAGGTTCCAGGATTTTCAGTGCTGTTGATATTATTTTCCATGCATTCATCATCCCAGTAACACACCCACTAGCCCAAACAAAATCAGTTCTATAGACACACTCTTAGGGGTCTTCTTACTTTATTTATGGATGGAGAATTAGACCCTTTCACGAAGAGGTTTTTGGTCAATAAGACTTGCAGAGAGAAAGAACTGTTCCACTCAGATTGGCGCTGGGCACTTGGCCCAAGGGTGCACAGAGACTGTCCCTGACTTCCTTTCTCAGCCTTTCCCGCTGCTTCCTGGCAGCACCTTCTCTCAGGAAGCTGACACTACAAAAACATGAGTCTTCCTCTGCTGGTATACCACCTGTATCTTCTTTGTGCACGTTCTGTTCTTTGTTTTGGTTTCAGGCCAGCATTACTCCTGGCTCTGCGCGCAGAAATCACTCCTAGCGGGGTCGGGGATGCCTGGGTTCGAACCTGGGTCACCTGCATATAAAGCAAATGCCCTTCCAGCTGTACTATCTCTCTGAACGCACCATTCACTTTTTTTTTTTTTTTATATAGGAGTACTGCTATTTATTCAGCCACTGATTAGCTGATTGATTTGGGCATGAACTCCACCTTTTGTTTTTTTTCATAGTTTTATTTTTCCTCTTATATTTATTTATTGAATCACTGTGGGAAAAGTTACTAAGCTTTCAGGTTTAAGTCTCCGTCGTACAATGATCAAACACCTCTCCCTTCACCAGTACTCATTTTTCACCACCAAGAACCCCAATATACCCCCCTCCCAACCATCCCAGTGCCTGTGAGGCAGACGATTTCTACTTAACTCTTCTCTACATTGATTACATTCATTATTTCAACAAAAGATGCACCATTATTGTTTAGAATCGCCCCCCCCCCCCACCCAACAATCAGAATTTCTGAAAAGGCATTGTGAAATACTTTGTTTTCTATAGCTGGTTATGAGAACTATATAATGATTTTGGATTTCTGCAAAGAGCCAGATAATAACGAAATTGGTGTCTGTATGTCTGGTGTTATGGCTGTACCGGAGAGCCACTCGTGGGGGACAACTCAGCTCGGTAGGGAATGAAGGACGAGCCAGTAAGCCCTGAGGCGGTGGCCACCTTGCTGC